TTACAGGCTCTTTTCCAAGGAGGTTCAGCATAATGCTCAATATAATCTTTACAACACTGCTTCGAAATTCTCCTCATACGATTTCTAATAAGCAGATCTAAAGTATAAAGGTGTGTGAGGAAGGTTCATCAGCAATTTTGTTTTCTTCACTAATGACTCACGTAGTCTATGAACACAGCCCATACTGGACAACACACAAATATAGACCACTGACATCTCACAAATGCCCCAGTGCATTGCTAACTCTTCTCCACCTGCAGTAACAAGACACAGAGGCAGAGATTTTGTGCTGCCCGATTCATTGTAATTAAATGAGCACAGCAAAGACAATGTTCAGTCGCATCAATGTTAAGATCTTTAGAACAACTTCCAATTTCGGCACATTTTCAGAAACTGATAGGTGTGAACAGGCTCTGTTACTTAGTTTCGTGCCACTGACAAAATGGAAAACAAAGAACCTATTAAAAGTCTTAGTCTGTAGGATGTTAACATCTTACATTTTGCTTTTAAAGGACACAGTGGATGAAGTCTAATATCCATTGCTTCCTTACAAGTGAACATATTTTAAGAGACTTCCACACAGGACTCAAGAGTTCAAAGTCAATGTGAATACTGATATAATAAAGACTGAGGGGCTGTGTTAGTGTCACTGAAAATTAACCTCTACTTGTTCTTAATACATATTTAATGCAAAAACTAAATATTTTGTAGAATTCATGACAAAAAGGAGGGCAAAAATAGAAAGAACAGAATGCAGTTAAACAGATACAACACAGTGATGTGAAGAACTTTTTGACATGATTGAATAATTGACTTATCTTTGAAAATGAAATACAAAGTTTGGGTGTCCCAGACAACCTCAAATACAGTACCAGCAACACATATTGTTAACATGTCATTATGCAGCACAGTGCAAATCACATGAGCATCACTTGTAAAAAATATAAAGCAAAGCACAGCTTTTATATGCCTGAATTATCTGCCCGCTTGATCATAATAACTCTAAGATAACATCCAGATGTAAAGGGCCAAGAAAATTTCATTTGCAAAACATAACATGTTCCTATTGTCAGATAATTCAGATACACTGTGAAATTATACCAGATTGTAGGCTTAAATAGATCAAAATAAAATATTGTTGGCATAGACATTTGCAAACTATCAGGCTGATCACAGCAGAACTCTTGGATTGTCATATATTGTGAGTACACTTTATAGGAAATCATTTTTTAAAATGAGCTCTGAGAAATCCATAGGCTTATGGAAAGTAGCAGAATGAATATGGCCAGAGGGCTAGAAAATTGTTACTCTGCTCCATCCTGCTGGAAAATGGAAATGGAGCACATGTGAATTCATGTTAATCAGAATTCCCTCAAGCTCCACCTTCCACCTACAGGCACTTTGCATAGAAGACACTTTCACGGCCACGTGCTGTCCTGTTTCAACAATACCACGAAACATGCTGCTTACAAGACAGAAACATGTTAGCCTAGATAAAACATTATCTTCTTTTTTCCTGTCAGTAGCAGGAATAATGTCTTACTCGAACATGTCTATTTCATACCTGTGTATTCTAAAGAAAGGACATTTCTCAGCAAAGACAAACGTGTCCCTGAAAAGTGGCATGCCCTCAAATTTCTGAAGTGCATTTGTTGGCCAAAATACAAGGAATCAGCTGTCAAAAACCAGCCGAATTACCCCCCTACAGCCTGCTCTTGTTAGACAGGGAAGGTTAGACCTGGTGAGAAATGACACAGATCTCTAAGGAAAACTAAGTTGCTGCGGCGTTAGTGGACCAGTAGATGGCGCTCTTACCTCTGAAAGAGAAAAGAGTTCACGCTAATTGACTTTTCACTTGCCAGTCTCAGCAAAGTTCAGAAATAAGACAACTGGCAGCTCTCAAGTGGTGGGTCATGTCCTTAAATGAACCCCTTTGAGTAGGCAGTTCCCTTGCACTGTCAATAAGCCTTTAAAGTCCAAGTGTGTCCAAGATCATGGGGTAGCCGGAGCCTATCCAGACAGGGAACGGGCACAAGGCAGTGTATACTCTGGACGGGACACTTGTCCATTGCAACACACACACACACACTCACACTAGGGCCAATTTTCCCAGAAGCCAATTAACCTCCCAGAAGCCATTTGGATCATGGCAGGAAACAGGAGCAGCTGATGGACCGCAGGAAGACCATACAAACTCCACACATAGCACCCCGGGTCAAGACTTGAACCCAGGGCCCCAGCAAAGTGAGACTGCAATACTAACCACTGCACAACCATGTCACACAAAACAAAAGTGAGAACACGGTATACAAACATCCCTGATTACATTAGAACAATCCTATACCAAGAAAGGAATCCAATACTTAAAATATACATGTTATAGATTGAAAGTTTAAAAGCATGCAATTCGGGACTTTAGAATTGACATTGGGTATTGAAAGGATTTAAAGAAATACATTGAGTACATGTAAACAAACAGTTTAAGCGTTATGCAAAACAGTACTTACAGTGTATCCAATGTCAGCCGCTTGTCTTTCTACATTTTGATTGTCAAAACATTGTGCATTGTAAAAAAAAAAAATAACACTACGTTTAACAAACGGTTCCCTTTTCTTTCTTTCTGACTTTAATGAAAGGTACTGTCACTTTACCCCTGGAGCTGCATTCAGGCTGACTTCCCAAAATCACAGACACACCAAATAAATGACAGTAGAAATTACATTGCATTCAATGACTTCAAATTAGCTCTAAAATAGGGTATTTAAGTATCCTACTTTGCAAAGCAATGAAAAATTCAAAGTGTTCCTCATTTTTAACTAGCCTTAAAATTTAGACTACCATTTTCTAAACAAGATTCTTCCCTGAAGCTTCCTCCACCCTTTAATATTTACAGTATATTATAACAAATCTGCATAATTGATCATAACGTATTATGATGTTCCTATCATTTCTGCACTGTTTCATTTTTTACTTTTTTTTCCCCCACCTATGCACACTTCCCAAATGCTGCACTGCAAACTTGGAAGATAATGCTACTTCCACAAGAAACGGTACACTTCCACTGTGGTGAAACAAAAAGTTGCTCCAAAACACAGGGTTTTTGTTAGTTGGGCTACGATTAAATGGAAGTTATAAACTGACGATCAGGAAGGATAGCAACCAGAAGTCAATCTTACACAGCTGCACCTAATCATCATCATCACCACCAAATGATCTATGTAATCTGAACTCAAAAGTCTCCCTTCTTATTCGTCTCAAACACCCCTATTCCACCCATGTTTATCCTACGCCTGGTTTATTCCTCTCTGAATGTATTCCGTTATTCCTCTCTAAATGGGGCTCGAGTCTCCTCATCCTGTGGCCAGGAGGCTACCCAAACCAAACACTTGGTTAAACCAAACACTTCTCACCAGGTATGCCAACCATTCATGAAGCATTCAATCCTAAAATGTTGTTGCCCCAAGTGAACTCCAGATTTTACAAGGTTCTGTATTATTACTTGCTAGGATTTGCTTCGTGTTCCAAAAAGCCCTTCGTCAACTTTTAAAATATACACCAAAACAGTAAATATCCGTCTCTTGGACACAGAAAATCGTCTCGCCTCAAATTTTTTTTACACACGCGAGACGCCAAAAAAAAAAGAGAGATCAAAAAACACAGAACAGAGGACACAAAAGCTCAAAAAAAAAACAGTTAGACAAACAAAACACAGAACACCACAAAAACAAAAAAAAAACAAAAACAAAAAAAAAAACAGCAAAAACACAAAAAAAAAATAAGAGCAAAATAAAATTAAAACATTTTCAACGTTGCCAATTTCAAGAACATACCGTAATAGACGTTTGTCTATTTTTTGTTTGCAAAACAAAAAGTTTCCAAACGCCGTATCAGCTTTTACAGACCTGTTAATATGGTTTCTTATTCAAAATATATTTTTGGACAACAGCTTTTGTATTGAGGTAAACTACATTAGATCTTTGAAGTTCACAAACGTACCAACGCGTATCATTCAGCTGAGTCCTGTACTTATGACAGTCTCTTTTTCTCAACTTTTAGCTTTCTGTGACAGTTCACCTTGGAGCGTTTGATAATCTAAAACTGCTGTTAGATTGTATCTAATCTGAAAATTGAAAAACCAAGCTGTTTTAGTGTGAGGGTATCTTTCAGGCGACGTAAATAACCTCGATTTGTCCAACTTCCGAGAACACGTGACTAGGATCGGTTGGCATTTATTTGAAAAGAGCAAGAACTGGTTTATTCAACTGTTTATATATAACTAAATGCATTATATATACATATTTGCATGTATGCCTATATATGAGATTAAGAAAAAGCTTATTTCCATTATCCTAGCGTAAACGCGACAGCAATTAGTTTAGTTGTTCCCCCAAAATCAGAAATTTTCACGGAACAAAAGACAGGTCAAGAACAATAGCACGCAAAGCACCTAGGTATGATGTTAACATAAATAAATAAACGTGTTTACAAATATAAATAAACACGTTTGTAAATTATATTTTAAAAGGTGCAACCTTTAAAATATAAATAAACACGTTTATAAATAAACGTGCAGGAATCTAAAAAACTATTTTAAAACATTTAAAATGACAAGTCAAGCAAAAAAAAAAAAGGGGGAAACAATTACCCAACCTGTATTGTTTCAATCCATTCAAGTTTATAAACACAACCACACAAAACAAACAATACTACGTGTTTCCTTACAACAGAAAATAATTAGAAATAACTGTAGGGCAGCACAACAGTGCGAACTGGAAGGCGTATAGAGAACATCGGTTAATATTTTATACTGTGTGGAATATGAACATACATATTTGAACAAATGAGGGTACGAGCCCTTGGTTGCTATATATAACTTTGCTGCTGCTCACACACAGCCCTCCGAGTGAAAACTGTGATGTGCACGAAATCGGCGCTTCATCATTCCACATCAAGGCTCCCCAACAATGAAACAAAGAATGGACCGCTGCCCGCTAACTCACCCTCGCCACGCCGCAGCATCCTATATCAATGCATTCACAGCTCCGCTGTGCCAGCCAGCTGCCGTCCAGTCCCGCATCTTCCCCGGCAGAATTCGCTTTCCATTCCCCTCGAACCCAACTCCCCGTCCCCCCCTCCAAGAAACGCGAGCGGTTACACAAAGACCCCTGGCTTCAACATTTATTTTTCGATCAGCACGACAAACCAATCAGTGTCCGCGCACGCCCCTGCTCTCAATCCAGCTGCTTCGTTTCTCTCTTCTTCTTCTTTTTTTTGCCAGTTAGTGTAGCACCTAGCCTCCATAGCAACTCCCCGTCTAACGGGGGGGATGCTCTCCACCCGCTCCAGAAAGGATGGAGATTACCTCACTGAGTTGGAACATACCACCTCGCTACAAACGTGGGGCTGACAATTTTATACTGCATGCACCTGTTAAGTTATTTCTTGAACGTGTGCTAACTTGAATTGTTGGACCTGTTTATGAAGGACGTGTTTAACAGTCTGTTAAGAGAGATATGAAGAAGTGTTTATGTGCAGACGCGACTAGGGTGGGATCTGAAGATACATACAGCATTTTCGGTTTTTTTTTTTTGGCGTTTTCTTTGACTTCACTCCAGGGAAAAGCAAACTATTTCTTCGGCGTCGCTCGAACAGTTTCGAGTGTTGCGTGAATTTTCATGGGAAGCTTCTTCACCTCGCTTTTCAAAAGCTTCATCAGACGGACTAACTTCGTGATTTAAAAAAAAAAGTCACAAATGAACTGAATGAGGAGGAGTTCCAGTACTATTGCCTGGAAAAAAAAATGTTTGCAACGGGTGTTTGAAATGCAATGAAGCTGTAATTCCCAGAATAACCATTAAGACCTCCAGAGACATTAAAGTGCTAGAGCTGAGGGAGTTGAAGAAAAGCAAATACTGTACGTCTGGAATCCCATCGTATCTAGGCTATTAACTTAGCAGAGAATCCCTTTGTTTGAGGTGTGTTTGGGGGGGAGAGCATACAGTAAGACACAAAAAGCAAGAGAAGAAGCCATTTGAAATATCTTGTGCGGTTCGGATCAGATGGAATTAATTTCAACAGCAAACTTGCTCCAAACACCCACCACTCTTTACGTAAAGAAGTGCTTCATGTTCACCTTTCCCACCTAACAGAACTATCTATCAATTAAAATTTGTGTCCCCGGGTTCGCATCTTACTTTTTGAACCTGGAGTAACTTTTTGGATGACCTTTGTCAGGATCATTCAGAATCTTATGTAATTGGATCAAGCCCCCTCATAATTTCATGAATGAACGAAATGTACGAAAGACCCATATGTAATGTTTATGAAATGCCAGGTAAAGTGTTATGACCCACACTGAGCCCTACAATGGACCAGCTTTCTGTTCAGCGTGTATCCCAGCTTGCTCCCATTGCTTGCTGGGATAGTCTCCAGCTCCCTCATGAACCTGAATTGGTTGAAGCAGTTCGAAAATGAATGAATGGGTGGATTTCAGTCATGTTGGATGGTTGAGTCACAGGGGGTTGGAAACAGAACTGTGTAGGCAAGGTTCCCAGAATTAACCAGAACACGGCTCACCAAGCATAAGGTCTTTAAAGTCAGAGTGGCTTTCAAGAATAGGCTGATATCTGTATTTGTAAAGTACTGGAACATTTCTTTGAGGATACATTACAAAAGAAGTAACCTCAGAATCCACTAATATATACAGTAATTTCCCATTAAATTGCAGAGGTCTACAAAGGCTCAACAACATTTACTGTATACAGTACATACAATAATGTTACTGTGCATGCATACTTATACAGTATGTAAGGTTTATCATCCAGGTGGGTGCTGCACCTTGGTGGTGGTGGAGGGGAGTCCCCATTACCTGTAAAGCGCATTGAAAGGAGTGTCCAGAAAAGCGCTATATAAGTGTAAGCATTATTAATTAATTATTATTATTAATATGCTTTTCACTACCTTTTAATATTGTTTCAGGCCAAATTGTTCACCTGCTTGTCGTACTGTAACAATTTAATGGATTCAAATAAACAGCCAGTCAGGATGTACAGTATGTACAGTATGACTTGCAATTAAGAAATCAGATGATCGGTTTTGCTCAGATGAACAAAATAAATTAGCAAGAACTAGCCAGAACCAGGCCCAAGACATGCAGGTAGATATTTGATCAAAATCAAAAGAGTAAAAAATGTATTTTAGTTACTACAGAGAAAAATGTTAAAATAATAACCTTTAGCAACTGCTTGCCTGCAAGAGGGAATATTACCCCTTTTCCATATAGAGCTAAAGAGAGATCTTGGAGTTTACACAGCAATTATGCTTGTATTGAGGAGTGAAACTGCAGATGGGAATGGTAGAATTTATCAAGGTCTTTCCTGGTAGCACACTAGGCGTAATGTTCTTTCTCTATAACTCACCCTACTGTCCTCATTTCCTGCTTTCCAATGACCAAAACTAAAACAAAATTCAACCACAACTGAGTGGCATCCATGCTGTTCAACATTACAACATCTGAAATACTGTAAATTCAGTTTGCTTGATGTGTGTTAGGAAATGATCTCCTAATTACAGCTCTAACAATACCATCAGAGGAGGAGATACATTATTTATGATTGTCCGTCACCAGATGTTTGTCAAATAAAGGAGAAATAAAAAGGAAAACATTAATTTTCTGACAAGGTCCCCTGTGTTGTTATATAGATCTTTTAGGAGTCGAGATAGCTCTCCAGTCTAGCACGCTGAGACAAGAAAGTTAGTGGGAAATACACCTGCAGCTTCCAGCTGTGAGGCAAAGAGAAAAGGACACAAACACATAATGTAAACAGCTTATTGATCATTTATGTTAATATTTTCAACCAGAAAATAAAGGCTGCCATTGATTAGCTGGGTGCAATCCTCGAAATCAGAGAAACTCCCCATCACCCACCTTTATTCCTATGCTCTTTGTAAAAGCATAGTAATATAAGTGGATTGCCTACTCAACCATGCTGATGATGTAATTGTTGGGACTGCTGTATAACTAGTATGTGTGTTTGACCTCATTAAAGCAGAAATTACTCAATTATCTTTAGGGCTGGGGTTAGGATTAGCGTTACAGTTGGAATTAATGCTGATATACAAATAGTCACATAAACGTCACTGGTACTGACACTAATCCCATAATGATATAAATGTCCAGAATTAAACTATACTCAACTGGAAATCAATTTTTCAGTGAAAGCTTTTTTTTTATCTAAAGGCAAATGAATGACTGTTACAATCTAAAGTATACCCTTTGTGGATGCGGACTGAAAGTGTTGCACCATGACTCCTCTCCTGTATTGTTGTTACGAAGCATAGCTCTGGACCCTATGCAGACGGTATAATCCGGAAGTAAGTGGAAAAGGACAACGGGGAGGAGAGGACGAGGAACTGGGCAGGTTGACAGACAGGGGGGCGTGACGACAGCGAGCTGGTGCTCGGGGGGGGCAGGACCAGGGCGAAGAAGTCCAAGGGAGTCCAAGGGGAAATCCGGGGCAAAGTCCAAGGTCCAAATCCAGTTGATCCATCCGAGACGAAAACAAGACACCGGGATCAAGTACAGGGACAGGGAATAAAAACGGGATGATGAGGCCAGGCGCTCTGAGCCCCGGACTCAGCTGGGTCAGGACGCCGATAGGAGGTCTATGTCCTCAAGCCGCGGACGTAAAGCGACTTGATGGTAGGCGGGCCTCCGGGCGCCCGTCTTCCAATGCAGAGCAGGGAATAGCGAAGCACCCGGCTTAAATAAGGAGGGGCAGGATTAGGCAGGTGCATGGAATCAGCAAAATGTGAGAGAGCCGGAGCGCCCTTAAGAGGAGGGATTACGATCGTGGCAATTGTGAAGAATCATCAGAAAACGGTACAGACACATAGTCAAATCAAATCAAAGCAAATCAAAGTTTATTTATCAAATGCACAACAATACGGCAGCTGCTGGCAATGAAATGTCTTTTCTGCGAGCTCACAAAAATCACAAAATTCACAAAAACACAAAAATGACATTAACACAAAAATCACAAATCACAAGAATCACAAAATTTAGGTTACGTTTTTTTAAATTGAATAAAACTCAATATGAATAGAGCTGTTATGTGTCCATGGTGTATGCAATATATACAAGTAGTGCAGTTATGCTGAATACAGTGAAAACTGTGGGTCCATGTAGCCATTACAGGTGATTTGCTAAAGGAGCTGCAGGTTGGCTATTTAGCAGTCTTATTGCCTGGAGGTAGAAGCTGTTCCGTAATCTGTTGGACTTGGACCGAATGCTTTGGTACCGTTTACCGGACAGTAGGAGGGAAAACAGTTTGTGACTGGGATGACTGGGGTCCTTGAGAATGGACCAGGCCTTCTTCAGACATCTAGCTGAGTAGATCTCCTGGATGTTTGGTAGCTCACAGACGGTAATGAGCTGCGCTGACTTCACCACACTCTACAGCACTTTGCGATCTCGGGCGGGGCGGTTCCCATACCAGTCAGGATGCTGTGTGGGCCAATGTCAATTTAAGAACATAAGAACATTTACAAACAAAAAGAGGCCCATCTAGCCTGTTTGGTAGTTAGTTGTTAATTGTGCCACAGATCTCATTCAGCTGTTTCCTGTAAGAAACCCAGGTTTCAGCTTCAACAACATGGCTTGAAATATACTGTACAAACACAGTCTGGATAAAAGCCTCCTTTTGGTTTTATAACGGTTTAACAAAATTAAAATGAAAGCACGAAGTAAAGTCAAATTTGCATCAAGACATCACCATCTCAGCAGTAAAATATTGTCTCCAATAACCTCACCACTGGAAACAATCTCTGCTGGTTCATTGACTATTATCAAATTAAACACATCTGTGAGGTGTGTGGCTCCAGGAAAGATGTTTTACCATAAAATGAAGATCTATCATGTTAAACCAAACGTTAATCATGTAATTTGTCAATTAATTTTAGAACTAGCATATTCTGCGTACTTTACACAGGTTAAATTATTACAGCAGGTCTAGGCTTGTATCTGATGTACTGATATAATCAATTTAGCAGAAAATGCCTGCTTTGATCTTCAATGTTCAATAATTAATGCTATCATCAACTTTTATGTTCACATTAATTGTTACATTTGATTTTCGTTCACTTAACATGCTACTGATTTTTTAATTGCTATAAATTGAGTGGAAAAGATTACAGCCCACTCTAAAAAAGCCTAGCAAAAAATGAATGTGGATTAGCTGGTAATGCACTACAATGCACAGTGCCATGTACTGTCAGGAACATCTGTTGTCCAATATAATACATACAGATAAAGACATAACTGATAAGGATTTGTTAATGTTATTTACATTATAACAGAGTAACAGAATCACTGATAAAGTGTCCAGACATAATAGGTGTGACCATGTAATTATAGACCAATAAGTGACTTCTGTTATCTGTAAGGCTTTGGTAACTATAATTAGAACAAAACTAGAGGATTCCTTATACAGAACTTAGATCCTAGAGGTTAGGCCAGCATGGATTTTATTACCTTGCTTAACTACAACAGTAACGAACACACAGAGCATGAAACAGTACAGATATTAAGACTTTCAGAAGGCTTAGAGTTCTACATAAAAGATTATTAGATGATGTTTAATGTTGATATGTGCAAGGTTTTACATGCTTTCAGCAAAAACGTAAACTGCAAACAAAAAGTGGGAAACAGGTAGGTTTTGTAATGATACACCATTTACATCTTCGGGACAATCTGGGGAAGCAATAAAAAAGGAAGACCAAATGTAAGGATATGGAAGAAGTGCAAAATTAGATTCAAGGGGTGTTACAGTATGTTAGGGCAGCACAGTGATGCAGGGATTTGCTATGCTTCTCAGAAATGAGCCCAGTTCTGGACCTGATCGCATGGGTTTCCTTTGGGTGCTCTGGTTTCCTCCCACCATGGTCCAAAGACATACTGGAAGGTTAAATGGTTTTGGGGAAAATTGCCCCTAGGTGTGAGTGTGTGTACAGTATATCTGCCCTGCAATGTACAGGGATATCATTGCCAGTGGCTTGCTGGGATAGGCTCCAGCTCCCCCTCAAGCCTGAATTGGAGGAAGTGACTAAAAAATGGATGTATGGGTGATGGGATGTCTGTTACAGTGCCAGCATCCTGCCACCAGAGGGCACCCAAACCGATAGTATGTACCTCATCCACTCTGGGGAGGTGTAGGTTAATCAGACCTCATTAACTCATCACCACGCCTCCCCTCCAGCCTACTTAAACCCTGCTCCCTTTTTCAACCTTGCTCAATATTGGGTTTTCGCTTTGAGAGCTACAGTACATGTCTTGTTTTCCATGAGATACTCTCTGCTTTCCCTTTTTGGCCCATGGACTTTTGCCTTATCTTTCTACCATGATTTCTGGATTCTCTCTCGTATACTGATTGTAACGGGAGCCGGTCCAGGCTCCCGCGAAGCTTAGTTCAGGACCCTATGCAGAAGGTACAATCTGGAAGTAAGTGGAGAAGGACAACAGGGGGGAGACGACGAGGAACAGGACAGAACAGACAGGGGGGATTGACGACAGTGATCTGGTGCTCGGGGGGGGGGCGTGGCCAAGGCAAACAAGTCCAAAGAGTCCAGGGGGCGAAATCGGGGGTGCAGTCCAAAGTCCAAAACGGGGTGATCCATCCAAGATGAAACATAACATGGTTAAAATCTGGAATGGGATCCGGAACAGGGACAGGGAATAAAAACAGGGCAACGAGGCCAGACTCTCCAAGACCCGGACTCGGATGGTCAGGACACCAGTGGTGGCTCTGTGGCTAAGGATCTGTGCCTGTTACTGAAAGGTTGCCGGTTCAAATCCCGCGGCTGGCAGAGGAATCCTACTCTGTTGGGCCCCTGAGCAAGGCCCTTCACCCCAACTGCTCCAGGGGGGCTGTACAATGGCTGACCCTGTGCTCTGACCCCAAGCTTCTCTCTGTGTCTGTCTCTCCTTGGAGAAAAGCTGGGGTATGGGAAAAGAAGAATTCCTAATGCAAGAAATTGTATAGGGCTAATAAAGAAATATTATAACATTATTATTATAAAGCCTAAGCAGTCGGTTCTCTCCTGAACCAGCTGGTAGGTGGCTTTCTGGGCATCCATCTCCCAATGCTGAGCCCAGAATAGCGAGAGTGCCAGGCTTAAATAAGGAGGGGCAGGATTGGGGGCAGGTGTATGTAACTAAACTACAAAAGGGCTGGAGCGCTCTTAAGAGGAGGGATTACAACTGTGACACTTATTGCTCCAAGACCTTTTGGCTTTTTGATCTACTGTGTGTCTGGACTTCGACCTTGGATCTCCCTGTCTGTTCTGCTCGCAGCTCTTCCAGTTCCCTGTCTCCGCATAGGGTTCATCCCTTACTATCAGCTACTCTCAGTGTAACAATGTCATGTTAAATCTGTATGCTGCACAAGCAAGACCTCATTTAGAAGACTGTGTAAAATTTGAGTTGCTGCTCAGGTATCTGTCCAGAGAAGAGAAGCCTGATACATTTCTTGGATTTGGGATCCTGAAATCGCTTACAGCAGCTTCTTAAAAACCAAACAGACTACATGAACCAAATGGCATCTCCTTTACAAATGGTCTAATAACATCTTTCGAAGAAAGGAACTAACGTACTTAAATGAGGGCTTATCAATGCAATTTACAAAACATAATGTCCCTTCTGTACTTTTTAAATATATCTCAATATAAATAGTCGGAATGGCTTAGTGATCTAAGGCACTGTGATTAGGTCACACAAATTAAAGCCATCTGGAAAAGCATAGACTTACTATCAAATGAAATAACACTTCATTTATGCATGTATGCTCATAGAGCAATGACTAGGAGAGAAACAATGACTAATCATTCTGAACAATCATTCATGACTGACAGATACACTTGTGTGATTCAGACAGTTGCTAATAGCACTAAATCACCTCCTATCTATAACCCATTAACATTCTCAATAATGAGGCGATTTAGCCTGTTGAACGTCAAGCAAGGTGAAACTCAAGAAAGAAAAACAGAAAGGAGTTGTGGTATTTCATACGATCAGTTATACTGGTACAACAGCTCAGGTGGGCTTTTCAGCAGTGCAGTTGAGCCCTCTCTGATTAGTCGAGGGTTAATGTAGACCAGTGTGATGGATGTCAGCACATGATTCACAGATTTGCAGAACAATACGCTAACTGTTGTGACAACAGACCAGTCAATGTTCAGTCACTTCAGAATTCCCATCCCACTTGTAGGGATCGATGGTGACCTGACTTCAGGACTCTATGATTTTCAGGTCCTCTGAAATATTCCCTACATCGAACAACACAACAGTAATGCTGGAGACATGTTGCATATTTTTGGGGAGTAAAATAACGAGATCAATAAACATTAAGACCCATCACAAAACTACAAGAGACAAACAAATTTCCTCATGAATGCCACATTTTGCAAATCCAGTTCTGCAACCTCTTCTGTTTTTGTTCCTTTTCGTGTACTGTAGATAATGTCTGCTTACTTTGGCAAGCAGTCTTCCAAGGTTTTTTTTACAGATGATGATTGAACGGATTGCATTTTTTTGAGGTACAGTAAAGTGAAAGTTTAGGTGGAACAAAGAACAGAAGAATATTGTTCAAGGAAATTAATTTAAGAACAGGCTCTGGAATACCTTTTGTTCTCATTGAGCACTCAAGAAAGAGAACAGAAGAATTCCGTAAGTATATAGTGCCATCTACAGTTGGAATGAGATCCTTTCTCTCATTTGTTTCCTGTTTCAGCAACTTGAAAAGCTTGTTATACAAAGGAAAAATAAAACTAATTTATGGTTTTCTTTTCATTGTAAGTTGTTGGTGTGCAAATGGTGATATATTTTCATTTTTGTCCGAGTTCCTGCCTGATGCAAACAATGGAAAAATTCTGCATTGACCCCTGACCTATTCTAAACAACCCAGAAAAACTACTTCGTACTGTACATTTACATAGGAGAAAGCCATGTTAGATTAAGGGGGATTTCACATCACCCAAACTTTGCTTTTTGGTCCTGTTCTTTAATGATACTATGATTACACAAAATAGACTCAATCATTTCTAAAGTTAGTTAGGCGAAGATTTCATCAAAGCTAAGTGAGGACCTCGGTTTTACTTCTCATCCGAAGGATGGCGCCTTTTTACAGTATAGTGTCCCCATCACTATAATGGGGCATTAGGACCCACACAGACCACGGGGTGAGCACTCCCTGTTGGTCCCACTAACATCTCTTCCAAAAGAAACCTTGGTTTTTCCCCAGGAGGTTTCCCATCCAGGTACTGGCCAGCCTGACACCCGCAGAGTTTCAGTGGTCTTCCAGTTGTGAGTTGCAGGATGATATGGTTGCTGTCTTAATTCTAATTTCCCATTTTCTAATTGTACCATATTCTCTTAGAGAGAAAGTAGCCTTCTACACTTAAAAAAGAATTCTTACACATTTATATTTCACATGTTAATTTTTAATATCAGCTTTATATAGATGACAAAACATTGTTTTGATGGCAAGAAGTAGGCTCAAAACAAACTAAACAACTACTTGCATTTGCACTCCCGAAATACAGTACATGTGCAAAAAATAACACAAAAACATGACTCAACAAGCCAGACTTAATACCAATAATTTAATAAAACGAAAGAACCAAAAACAGGTTTTTCAGGATTCTGTACAAAATAGTTATGTACTGTATATGAACATGAAAAGAAATCCAAAAGGAAAAAAAAAAAAACGCCCGATCCTTCAGTCATCTTCAAAGTCTAATTTAAGAGAAACACCAAAAAATATAGTCAGCTCCCTTGAATGCCCTCAGTAACCATCCACACCAGGCAATTTCCCTTGCAACAGAGCTTGTTGTGTCACCTGCAACTACACATCTAACACCACACTCATTCAAGGCCCCTCAGGACAATTCCAGATCACCCAGATGCCATCCTGTACCTCCAGCAACCTTATTTACTGTATCTCTTGCAGTAAATGCCCAGCCATCTACATTGGAGAAACATTGGAGAAACAGGAAGGAGACTCAGAGACTGCTTCAGAGAACACGTCAGGGCTGTGAAGATTAAAGATCTCTCCAAGCCCATTGTTTCTCATTTCACCCCTGACGGCCATGGTTTTCTGAACTCATACATCAGGAAGACTACAGAAACTAAAATTATCCTGCAGCTAGGATCACACCTTCCCCCTTCTCTTAACGACAGACTACTTTTCTTCTAAATTCTCTCTTCATTGTAGGTTTCATTTCACACCTCTCTACACCTATCCTGACTACTACAAAAAATATAGTCTTCCACTAACTACAGCTCACACATTGACTAGGGCTTACTGAAGTGCAGATGATTCTACACTGTCAAAGTATATTTCTAACCCTACTGCCCAGAGAGATAATGTGCCTTGACAGGAGGTTAGAGTCCAATTTCCTGAGCTCCCTGCACTGGGCTCTACACTAGGAATGCAGCCAAGATCTGCATCATGGGAAACGACATAATTCACAGTAACTGCGATAAATGTGAAGGCAATCATCACATAACAATAAAAAGTAGATTGTTTGTGCATATTGCGGGAGTGGTAAAGGAATAGCTTTCAGCTATCTATAATATAAATAAAAAGCTAAGTATTGATCAATTTCTATCTGAAATAAAGAAACTAAAATGGTGTGAGCAAATATTCCACAAACAGACAAAGAGAATGACAAACAGTATGACAAAGAGATAAAAGTACAAGCTAAAGCAAAGCATAGACAGAAAATATTCAAAGGTACACCAACACTTCCAAAGTTTAAAATCATGTGGTATTCTATGTTTCTGTTTTTTTAAAATGTTGCATTGGTTTATGAAACCCGAACTCTGCCGTTAAGGAGCTCACTGGATGATTGATGTTTTACACATGATTGGATGGACAATTCATCATTTAGAACAGCAGCCACCTTACATGAAATCCACTTAACTGTGTAACAACTTTTTCCTTCAAAATTGTGACAAATATTTGAATGCATTTTATTTTTTTCGATTGTTTAATTATTCAACGTTCATATTCTTCCATGTATCCTAACATTTTAAGGAGAAAACCCAGGCAGAGAATATTTAATGTGACTTCTTCTCCAGTACTGTATTACTACTGTAGCTAGATGGGATCCTAGAATCGTTATATGATTGTAACAATGGGAATGACATACTGTACCATCATGGAGGTTTGCCCTGCTGCCTCACAGCTCTTGATGCCTGGAGATCTTTCTGTGTGCAGCTTGCATTTTATGCCCAGGTTTATGTCTAGATACTATGTTTTCCCCCCACTTTCCACAGACACACTGACCCTTACTTTGACTCTAAAGTAATTGTTAGACATCACTTGATGGGAATCAAACCATCAAGGAAAATCTTTCTTACTTTTCCTGACCTGACGTTCTGCTCTTAGTAAACAAATGTTTTGGTGGTCTGTGTGTTTTAGGTTAAAACATTTAATTAAATGTGCTGAAAACCTCTTTATAGTGTAGATTAAAAATTGGTAAAAGCTTGGTAAACTTTAAAACCACATTCGTCAACATTTATAAGACTACAAATGTACAAATGTGTGTGTTCAAGTTAATATCTGCTTTGATACTTATTACTGCCCTTTTACTTTATGGAAATTGTGTTTTTAGATTGCTTTGCCAGCACTCATTACATGGCTATATACAACAATTTGTCCTAATTACCTGCTTCCAGACTGGTTTTAGTTAAAAACTGAATTGACTCAGATATACAGGACATGTCTGTCTTGAACTACACAGTGATGAAAATGAAACTGTAATAAAATCCAGCAGCCAAAACTCCTAATCAATTCCTAGTAACCTTAAAAAGCTGATAAGACTGTTCCCAGGTATGAAAGTTCTAAATACAGGTATTATATGTCAATTAGCAAATGATAGTTTAATCTACTGTAGTCACTGCAAATATGCTTAACAAAGCAACTGTATCAGAAAATCAGCCTTTTGCTCCACACAAATCCAATTTCTGCATTTAATTGTACTTTGTACTTTAGCATCAGTTGGGTTTTGCTGAAGTTGAGGTTTTAAAAACAAAACCTATTAAAAAAGTGTTGACTGGAGATGAAATGTGTGGATACTTGGATTACAATTTACAGTTCTGTTGTAATCTGCCTTTAAAGTTAACAGTAATGTCCCATTACATGTCCCTCTTTTACCCATCATCTCCCATGTCTTTTGCATACCGAAAAGCTCTACAGCTGCTCTCATGCTCTTCCTTTACTTCCTGGAAACGAAGTGCAGGTTGATGGAACCCCCAGGGATCATGAGTGTGCGGGTTTTGGGCTCCAGGACGCCCGACCCCACTTCTGGTTGAACCTCAAAGTGCTGCATCAGCTGGCGAGATAAGAGTTGTGTCACCGAACCATAGCTATCAGCTAGAACACGATACGCGCATAGTTGGCATACCTTGCAGTTAACCATATCAAAAAATCTCTTGTTCAAGCTTAAACAACACTAATGAACGTCGAGGGTCTGTTTCTGATTTCTCATGCCTGGCGAACAGTAAAAACTAGAGGAGACTGTTTTCTTTTCAAATTCAATATACAGAAGTGTCAAACTAATTAAATGTTCTGTGCAAGCTCTTTATTACTATCAAATTAATAGTACTAAACTATGACAAAACTATTTTGGCAACGGCATTTGTAATTAACCCACTCATTCTGTAATTATGGTCTAATGAATCAATGTAACAGACAAACACCAATCCGCAATTCTGCAACAGAAGGCTTTTGCAAAAGCAATATATCCTTTAAAGCTTTTTTTTTACTGCTCTCTTCTGCAAGTTCATTTCCTTGCAATGAACTCTTTTAACCTTGACTTATCTGGTATGTGTCTTTAGACCAACAAGTGTTATATAACTTACAGTTACATAACTTACCCGTGACAGTGCAAAGTACATCTCCAGCTCGGCCACCCTCTTGCCCACGCAGGCCCGGACTCCCACCCCAAACGGGATGGAGCTGTAAGGGTGGTGCTGGTACCTCTCTCCTCCCCTCAACCAGCGTTCGGGCAGGAACCTCTCGGGATCCGGGAATTCGGTCTCATCATGGCTGGCAGCATAGTGGCAAAGGTGAAACTGTGTCTGTTGCCAAAAGGCAGATATACAGTTAGATAAGCACCTGCAGGTGCATTATAATGCACAGGAAGGGTAAACAACTGCTGAAATTAACACCAGCACAAGGACAGAAAGGAAAGAAACCTCTCAGCAGTCAAGTGACAGGTTTACAGCAGGGTGAGAATGATTAAAGTCACGATCACATACACAAAATAGCACATACTGACACTTCAAGGAATACAGTCCAACTGACACATGCCAAACATCCCAATGGACAGCAGTACTAGGTCTTTCATTCAGGGAATTCAGGGATAAAGCTGTAAAAAGGCACAGGCCAAGAAATTGCGTAAAACAGTTCAAAGGCCCTTAATATCTCTTTAAACATGGTAAAGGATGTGGAAGGCATCCAGACACTGCCTAGATCAGGCAATCCCTCCAACATAAGCAGTCTGGCAAAGAGGAAACTGATGTCATGCCACTATAAGCCCAACAGCGACTTCACAAGATTTACAGAGCAGAGGCTGAGATGGGAGAAAATGGTCACGAGTCAGAAATATTCTGGACACGTCCATACATCTTGTATGAAATCGGGGAAAAGAAAAACCCATCTGAAATCATGCATGGGCCAGACAAGTCAAAACTGGAAACTTCTGTTACATCTGATGCAAGCCCAACACAGTTCATCACTCTGTCAAAACACTCCCTGCTGTCAATGCAAGACAATGGCAGCATTATGTTATAATTCTATTTGTCATCAACAGGGACTGAAAAGCTGGTCAAGACTGATGGGTAACCCAGACAAAGCAAAGAACTGGCAAACCTGCTCCCAGTTAAAACCTAGGACAAAAAATCACCTCTCAGCACGACAACAATCCAAAGTACAAGGCCAAAGCAACACTTAAGAGTGGCTTAAGAATAAGAAAGAACTGTCTTCGAGTGGCCAAACCTCCCAACCTGAATCCTGAACCTATGAAAAGGCTTCCCAAAAAGTTAATGGGCTTGAATACTACGATCAACATTTTAATGTTTTAATTTTTCTGACATTTGCTGTAGCTTATCCTACCCTAAGAAGCTTCCAGTTTGAGCATTTGAGTTTTGAACAAAGTATAAAGTTTTGACAGAGCTGTATATATATACACATCATTGGTAATTTCCCAAAATGGGAGATCATAGGAAGTGTCTGAATACTTTTGAAAAGCACTGTATTTACGTGGGAAGCTATAAGCCCGTATGAACCGAGAACTCAGGTGCAGTCCAATCAATTCTGAAGCAATAACTTCTCTACTCACTGCTAAAGACTGGAGGGGATTGTGCCCCCTGGTTACTGAGGAAACATGATGTTCCAGCACCAGGGAGTCACACTGACATTTTCCAGTCAGAATGAATCGGCAGTATTTCTGATCTGTGAGTGACAGATTTATGGTTTGTGTGCAACCCTTTGGCCGAAGAATCTTGGCCAACCAGACAAAAATCATACTCCAGAACTATGTTTGCTTTTGAAACCTCTGGCTCAGGTTATTCATCAACACCTCGTTCTACCTCAAATTCCAAATTGCAAATGATTTTGCACTCTGTCATGTCTGTAGTTGGCTTGTCTTTGCTACATTTTTCTCCTCGTTGTAGACCAGAACAAAACTGAGTCTGTGTGAGAGATCTGACTGCTTTTTAATTGCCCCTGCAAACTATTTTAAGAGGAACAAACTGTTGCAGTTTAACCCCAAAAAAGTAAAAGTCATCTTAGGGTTGTAGCTTCTACAGTAGGTAGATTTTCTTCTCTTTACAAGGTTGCATACGGGATGTTTGTATATCTATATAAAAGTGGTCTCCCAGCTCTTTAATAACCCTTTCGAACTCCTTTTCACCTGAGAATCATTGTCTGATTAACTCTACTCCTAACAGGAGATCTTCCCATCTCCAAAGACTTCAACTTTAATGTCTGAATTACACTGGGACTTAGATATCATAGACTGCATTTATGGCCCCATAATTCAGTGGAAATGCTGTTTTAATCAAGAAACATTCTCAAAAACCTCCCTTGTCATCAATGATGTGGCTGTATGAGTGGTGGAGTCCTCTACATTTTTGGGAATTATAATCTGTAATCTCCTTAAATGGGATATGAATATCACCAGTATCACAAAGAATGCACCAACGGTAAAATTATGGTTATTCTGAATCAATTCTGAATCAATTCTGATTCTGACAGTTTTACAGAGCTATCAATGCGAGTATGATTTGTACGATTCCAGAGCAAAGAAGTGGGCAGGAATGATTGCGAATGACTCTTCCTCCCCCACCCAGATTACCAACTGTTTCATAAACTTCCCCCAGGAAGATGCTACCGGTCTATTAAAACCAGAACTACTGATATTTTGACTTAATCTTAATTCTTTCCTATGCCCATTTTTGTTTAATCAGAATTCTTAGTCATACAGTATGTGTGCTGTCTTAATGAGGTCTATTGTCTTGTTTGTATATGGTACATATGTAAAATGTTTCTGCAGTACCAAATATACCAGAGTAAATTTCTTGTTCATGAAATGTTTGGTGCATATTCTGATCTGATTCTGACCAACCATTTATCGACTTTGATCCTTCTGTTAATGCTAACAGACATTTTCAATGAGGATGATCGTAGCTCGATTAGTCACAACATGAGCCTCCAGGCTTTCCTGAGGGCATCCCCCAAGAGGTGAAGTTTACCGAGGTCTGCTCTGTTTGATACAAGGGGTAATACAAGGGAACTGGTTTCTTTGTTTTATATCTTTGTAACGCAATCTTAATATGGTCCCTTAACTACTAACGAACTTGAATGTTTCAGATGAGACCATTTTCGAAGACAGTGTTTCGGATAAATCATAAACTGCCTCCTACTGTGTGAATAATTCACTTACATTTTCTCCACAGAACATTTCTCCTTGTTCTCCATGTACACCCTGTCCACAAGGTGCACTGAACATTTTATCTGTTCTTCATTACGAAGAGATATTACCAGCTCTGACTTGGCACTCTTGCTAGATGGTCTCTGATCTTGGCATCCCACACTGTAAACCCCTCTTCAAGACCTAACATTAACCTCAAATTTGGTAGGCATCATTCTAATGACAAGAGAAAAAGCCTCCAAATGGGACTCCTGCTTTAAACCAAATGACTGCCCTCATTGTTTTTCTAGAACCTTCTAGAACCACTACAGCCTAGTGCTGTAGTGAGAACTTATTTTGGAAGTTTACATGTTGCAGTTTCAGTTTAAAATGGGTCAGAACCTACTTGGTAAAACATGTGCTAAACTGTATCAATAATTACTTTGCACTCTCTAAACGGTTAAAATGAGGAAGGCCTTATTGAAATGGAATGAAAAGTTTCAGAACTGCTAACAACTTTCTGCTTTTGTACAGCGTTTAAACAAGTGAAGCGGTAGAATCTGAAAAACTGTGATGGCTATTTTTTTAATTTTGTGCTCAAAGTATTGTACAGTAACTGTGAATAGGATTAATGGAAAACAGTATTTCTACTTCAGATATTTTTTACTAATTGACATATCAAAAAGACTTAACCTTTTAGAATCTGACCTTTTGTATTATAGAAAAAAAAGAAATATGTACTCATATTGCAGGAATACCTCCCTGTTATATAACAATATTTACCATCTGCACCTGTGTTCAATGTACCCATGTTGAATATTCTGATGTTATGAGCTTGTCAAATGATCGTATTATACAAGGTGGGCATATACCGTTTTATTAGACACAAACTAATCAGTTTAATGCATGTCAACATGTGATATACAGGGGGTCTCCATTTAACATTTTTAATGGGAGACTGTAAAACGGGAACTTTAAGCAGGGAATAATTTCCCAGTAAGAAATAACAAATAGGGATTAATGGGGTTTTGTAGGATGGGAAAATTCCCTTGAGGATGTTAGTTGCAACATATTTCTTTCAACAATAAAAGGAACCAGGACATGATGACATAAATGTACAGCAGTGTACACCTTTTCTGCGTGTAAACCGAATAATTACAGTAATGACCCATTAAGTTAATGATAGACTTACACTTAATGTTTAATTAAAATTAGCCTTGTCTGAAATGTTTTAAAAACACTTAGAATGTGAAAAATAACAATGAATGACAAAGAGCTAGTGTGAGAGAGTGTGAATAACAGACATTAAACATGATGTTCTTTTCAACTTTTAAGCATTTCATGCATAGTAAATAAATAGCACAAGAGAAGTTGTCTCTGCCTGCAGTCTTAATAGCAGTGTAGGTCAGCATTGTTTAAGGAGCATTATGAAAAAATTGCAGTAATTTTGTTACGGATTGGATTTAATTCACGAAAGACAGATCCCAAGTAGATATTAGCATTTTTACTCAAGTATGTATTTTTGGATTTAGTTTTGATACTCCGGAGTCATTGTGGGGTTGTTTTACGGTGTTGTATAGTGTTGCTTAAAGTTGGAAGCTGGGCACAAGAGGTGTAACGTACGTACGCCAGTAGGTGTCCGAGGACACATGGGTCACATTTCTTCCCATTAAACGCAAAGCCTGGCCATATACAGTGCGAATGGATGAGCCCAGTAAAGTGTGTAAGGGTGTCCCAGTGAAAAATGGACAGTTTTAGACAATGAAGAGAAATGGAGTCTTCAACAAGAATTCATTTGTTCTGGCTCTTTCGGTTGGGTTTGATCCACAGGAGACAAAGAGGAACTGAAGAGACTATTGCCTCTGCGTGACGAATTGGCGTTTTGGACTGAGTAGGCGTCTCCGAAAGGGGACCACCAGCACATCACAGGAGCCCAGAGGGGATCCGCAAGCCAAACCGTGAGAGACCACCCAAACACCCGTAATCAGGCGAAATGCTGGCTAAGAGACAATACGTAACTCGGTTGTCAGCATTCGCCACACTGATTCACACCTAGGAAAACCTGAACGGGCCTAAGATGTTTTTTCCCAGTGGCGCACAGTTCCCATCTGGCTCTTCGAGAAACTAAGGGAGTGCACCCTGATTTTTCAGTCTGATGAAAGTCTCTTTGCAGGTGGCTTGGAGCCCAGATTCAGAGTTCAAAAACAGTTTTTTACTGACCAACTTTCACATCACAACAGGCCATAAAGAAATTGTTGTTCAAGGCATATCCTTGAATCAATAACTTAGAACTAACTGCATGGGTGCTAATAACATATTTAATGTGTTATGGACTTTAGGAAAATACTTGATAACACATATTCAGAATAGAAACATTTTGTATATAATGTCTCGATGTAAGCTAAGCTTCATCACGCATTTTTCTGTGATCTATCTGTTTATGGCCTTAGTTTGAAAAGAAAGTAGAAAAAAATGTGTCGACACTCTGAAGCCATTACAGACATTGGTGCAATGTTCAGGCATGAAATGAACTGAAAAAACCCTGTGTGGATTCCCAATGTTAGCTTAGGGCATAATGGCAAGAGTACATTGAAGCTGTTAAACTCCAAGTCATTAGCCAACTGCAGCAATTTCACCACATCATGTAAAATATCTGAAGCTTCCAAAATGCCAAAATAATTCAGTTTTCCAAGTCCATTTTGTTTTCTTTTCACATGCTTCTGCTGCAATGGATAGTGCAAATCTTCTGCAAAAAGTTAGTTTCCTCTATTTTAAAAAATACCTGTTTGCCTAGACCTGCTAGCACAGTTTATTTTACAGGCAGCAAGATGGTGTCCCATCGCACCCTAAATTAATATATATCAAGGTGTCTCCCACTCAAAACAATGGGAAGGTAATACTGTCTAAGCTTTCAAATGTCCAATCTTAACATTGCTCTGGTACATGTAAATATGGATAAGAGAAATAGGAAAATTTACACAATTAGCTGTCCTTTATATATTACAAAGTAAATCATTACTAATCCTAACCCTGATTTCTCCACAGGTAAAGGAGAATGTCTTACTTTTGCATTATCTGGGCCAGTTCAAAACATTTCAAAGAACAGCCCCAGGACCCTACCTTCTTTGGGAACCAGTAGTCATCCACGATAACTTCATTTTCTACGGTTAGTCGACCATTTCCTGGAACCACGGGGTACAACCTGAAAAATAAATTAGCTATCATCACCAAAAATGTTTAAAAATCACAGTAGTGTAACTCGCACTACAGTACATTTAGTGGTCCGTCATCAAAAGTGTTAGGCATTCCGGAAAGGAGTTCATGTACCAGAAGTCTCACAGCCCTCCAGCTGTTCGCCATTTTCACAGGAATTTGAGAACAGTTAAATGCTGCTGGTATGGAAAGAACTGGTGAATTTTCATCCCAATTTTAGGTCAAGAGAACGTTTTCCTTAAAAGAACTCTTCCTCTGGGAGGCAGAACTACATGTCTAACAATGCTGCTACCACCATGCTTGACAGTAGGGATGGTTTTGACTGACTATAGTACAGTATGTTGAGTTTGCGTCAGATATGACATTTTGCATTTAATTTAGAAATGTCCAGATTAGTTCTGGTTGACCACAAAATCCTTTGGCACATTTGCAGTATCAATTTGATGCTTTATTGCAAATCCCCATGCGGGATTTGAGATTTGTTTTCAGTCCCATACAAGAACCCATTGTGAAGTTACCAGGATGTTGTTGACCTACAGTATGGCTATTTTCTCCCATCTCAGCCACTGAACTCTCTGACACTTTCAAAGTTGCCATTGGCTTCACAATGTCATATATACTGTTTCCTTCTTGGCCAGCTGCTAAATTTGGAGGGACAGTCTAAAGTAGGCAGTCTATGTGCTGTCAGTTCTATATACGAAGAGTATATCTTTGAATATTTTTATATTTATTGTAAACCGTTACTAACCCTAGCCCTGCTCTTGATGTGTGCCTTTCTACAACTTGATCCCTTAATTGTTAAAAAAAAAACAAAACAAACTGCACGGTAGAGTGAAGGAAAAGAAAATCACTACCGAAACAAGAGACAAAAAAAAAAGAGATGAAATCAAAACAAGAAAAGCAATGGCACACAAAAAAGAAATGGACTGCCCCACACCAAAACAAAACAATGCAAAACACAAGAGAAGAATGTTATTAACTAAAAAAAAAACGGATCAGAGGAAGGCAAGACAAAAGAAACAAAAAAAATACCCGAACCAAAGCAATGCATAACATAAGCAAAACAAGAAAAGAAGAAAGAAAACAAAAAAAAAACAAACAAAACAAAAACAACAGCAGACAGAACACAAACAAAACAAACCCTAAAGGAAAAGAATAGTAAAGCAAAAAAATAAGATGCGAAGCGAACGCAACGAAACGAAACAGAAAAGAAAAAAAAAACAAATCACCTGACACAAAAGAAACAGATCAGAAGACAAAAACAAAACAAAACAGAAACAACACAGGAAAGGAAAGTTACAACAAAACAACAAAAAAAAAAAAATACAGTACACACAACAGACTTACTCCACCCATGATAAAACCAAACTACATCAGACAGACCATATCAATCATCAGATTGTATTCAGTCTTGATACCGGAGTCAACTGTGGACGCCAAAAAGACAATACATTTCTATTATTCCAAATTATAGAAAAAGGTCCTTCTGTTATTAATAAAGGAAACTATGAGATTGGGAAAAAGCTCCCCAATCATTTTTTGTTGACAATTCATGATATCTTTCCAAACATATGGAAAAGCAAGACCGGAAACCTAGTTTCTGGCAAGAATTAGGGGACGTCTATGCAGCTGAAATTTCCCTGTTTGTCCACCAGAATCCATCAACTCTAGGAGACAATGCACAGAAGGAATAAAATTAGAAAAATTGGTTGCTTGACATAATCCTGTTTTCTACTTGAGACAACGAAAAGACTCAAGAGAAAAAGAAATCAATGGAAAAGTAAAATGAAACCAAAACACATTCCTAAAGTTATTACATAAAGTACCTTTCCAAACCCGAGGATGATGAAGAGAAGAGAAAAAAAATCAATTAATAAAGTAAAATAAAATGAAACTTTAAGATAATCAGACATAGGCTCTAACAGAAAAGTGAGTCTGAAGTTTAGATTTAAAATATCAGAGGAAGAGCATTCCATAATATTAGAACAGCAACAGAAAAAGCACAGCTACTCATAAATACTGTGACATTTAGTCCTAGGTACAAAGAGCAAAGGACCAGCCACAACAGAATGTCTACAAGAGGGAATGTGAACATGGAGAATTCAGATACATATGATGAAGCCATATTATTCAGAGCCTTATAAGTCAGTAAAAGGAAAAATTTACAATGTGGTGTGAAACAGTTACAAAACCAAAGATAAAACGAAGTCTTACATAGGACACGTACAGTACAGAGCACTGATGGATTTAACACCTGCTTCTGAAGGAAAGGACTACAGGTACTTCTGAAATTAACATGACTGACGAGCAATCCAGAGGCAAAAGACATGAAATGTGTCCTCATGCTTGGACAACGCCACTTCTCTTATCAAAGGCTCTTGGTCTCGTATTACAGAGACAATGAAGTTCACATAATTCTTGTTAACATGGCAGACAAGATACTGTAACTACTCGCGCTGCCAAGGGGACAATAAAATTCTGACATCAAATCACTCCATGTGTACTCCAAGTTTCTCCCCTTCGCAGTAATTCAGTTATTTTGCAATCCATTCGAAATGGTCTGATGCTAGAATTTGCAGCTGGAGCGCCTGTCTTGGTATAGAGCCATTCTCCTTAATTGCATGAGTGTGTTAAAACTTCATTTTGGCCTGTCTTTCCTCTTTCAGTGGCAGAAGCCTTAGAGACAATTTGTTGGCTCAACCGTCTGGCAACAAGACCCACATGTACAACAAAGACATGCCACCTCATGATGTTTCCAATGTACTCTGTCTGGGAAAGAGAGGAAATGAAGCTGAGCTTCTGTTTTAGCGTTTAAACTTCTTCAGCACTGACTCACAGCATGAATATTCAGAAATAATCCACCAGGACAGGAACAGCCAGTTCCATCAGAGAATCATCTTACTGTTTCTTCTCTATGATTAGAAATAAGATAAAAACAAGTAAATCACCAGTTACATCACAGTGCTGGCACAGCAAGGCACAGACTGGAGTCTTCCCAGTAGTTCTCGCCTATAACAAAGATGGAAACCAGTGTTTTTGCCCTGTCTACAGGAATCAAAACTGTCGCCACCCACAGATTTCAACCTCGTCCTCAGATTGCAGATAACGTCCGCACGTCAGCTAGTGCCCCTGTCTTCAGCATGATGGACCTGTCTTTTGGCTACTAGCATTTGGAGAAGGAAGCATCCGATCAAATACAACAGGAGTCGGGCAGTATCAATTTAGTTTATGTCCCACTGGACTTTCTTATATACATCCAACATTTTCTTGAAGTGGTTTTGCAGGGGTTCCACTGCAGAAAATGCTAAACAGACCGCAATGACATCCTTATTTTAAGTATTTCATTTAAGGATAGCTACCTAGAGGATGTGTTTTGAAGGTTTTGAAATGCTGACATGATTGAGAGCTGAGAAGTCTTCTTGAGACATGTCTCTGTAAATGGTCTTCAGCCAAGACCCAAACACAATGCTTGTGAAAAACCGTCCCTTCAACCTGCCTCCCCTCCACAGATAAGGGTCTTTATGAGATTGTAAATGTTGTATTATTGCAAAGGGTTTTTAAAGACTACAAAGAAGGCAGCCACACCTTTTCAGTTAACAAAAAAGGGTTTTCCTGTGACGTTGACTGTTCAATGTGTTCAACTACCTAAAAGTTACTCCTGACCAGCTTCTTGTGATAGCTTTTCCAGATTTAAACCAACCTTTTATTCTCTATAGCGATTCCTTAAACACTGCTATACCAGCTGTTTTAGCACAGGTCTGAAAGAATCAGGAGTCAAGAGAACGTTGTTCTGGCAAATGCGACTCACGTTTTTGAAATACTGAATACAAATCTACTAACGACAGGGAGCTTTGCGCAGCTATCCAGTCGGTCACATATTTTTAGCAATACTTTGGGTGTAAGGAATTCGAATCTGACCACTCTGGCTTGTGGAAAACACATGTTGACAGTGAACCAATGACACACAAAGTTAGAAGAGCCTTAGAAATGTATCCTTTCCGGCTTGTAGTGTGGAACCACAAGAGTGCATCCCATTCCAAAGCTGATACTCTTCAAGGAAAATACAAGCTTCACATTATAATAATTGCTTACACTTCTATAGCGCTTTTCTGGACACTCCACTCAAAGTGCTTTACAGGTAATGGGGACTCCCCTCCACCACCACCAATGTGCAGCCCCCACCTGGATGATGCGACGGCAGCCATAGTGGGCCAGAACGCTCACCACACATCAGCTATCAGTGGGGAGAACAGAATGATGAAACCAATTCATAGTTGGGGATTATTAGGAGGCCATGACTGGTAAACAGCAGAGGGAAATTTTGCCAAGACGCCGGGGTTACACCCCTACTCTTTTCGAAAAAAAACACCCTGGATTATCCTGCAGGCCCAGTATTTACTGTTCCCCATTACTCCCCTGTCAACAATACATGTTCTCACATGGCACACTAGTGGACTGCAACAGACTTCCACCTCTATTGACAGTTCCCACATCACGACCGTGCTGATTTATGAACAGCAATGGGAAGACTTTGTACGCGGCATTCAGGCGGTCTTGAAAAGAAAGCTGGGTGGCCATGGCAACTTACAAATGAGACTCTAACTTTGAAAAAACGGTGGTGACAAGATTCCAGCCTTGTTCATTGGAATGGACTCTTATACAGAAGTCTCAAGCCAAGGTGAGGAACCCGGTACACCTGCTGGCTGTGCCACAAGTTTAAGTTTTCAAAAATACTCGCTGAAGCAAATAGCCTTCGTAAGGGACTTTTGTAAAAGTTACAAACATCAAACATTACCCAAACCTACAAACTTTTTCAGTCTGTTGCAGCTCATATTATTGAAATTCCAGGCACCTCGCACAACAACTGATATGTGCTTGAGGAGATTAATTTTATATTAATCTATATATATTATTTAAGGTCAGAGGGCTACTGCAGGTTCAAAATAGTTGTTCAAAAATTACATTAGAATGGTAATTTCTTAACCTCCCTACTTATCAGTTGGTTCTGTAACATCACCAACGCAACTGTAATGGATCAGGGAAAATTCATCAAATCGTGTTGAGGCTAGTTGCACTGGGACATTTTCTTAAAATATATATGTAATTTGGTTTCATTTTTACCTTGCTGCCTTCTCACTGTTTGAGTCTTTCCGTAGCTGGAAATTGGAAAATTCCCAGTTTGATTGGTTTTAATTTGGAACCAAATACAATTTAACAGTAGCAATGGGTTTATAATTGCTCCTGTTTCAAAGAGTGGGAAGCACAACATTTTACAGAACATCAATTTAAACTCTAAAGGAGAGCTGAATTTGTAGGAATTATGCTTTGACAGGTCCATTAATAAATCCGTAATTTGAAAATCCAAAAATGCTCTAAGCCAAATCAAATTAACTACTTATTAAACTTAACAATATAAGCTACCGTAAAAGCACAGTGCCTTTATCGCTGTTGATCTTATGACAGTACATATGAAACCAAGGAGTTAAAAGCAAAATTTGCCTTCAAGGCAGATCTGTCTCACAAATCATGATGATTCCAAAACCACAATTCTGAGTGGCTGAGACGATGCCCAGTGACTTGAGCAAAACAAAGTGAATGCCAACTTTTTCTCAGAAACGGAAACACTACAAAACATAAGAACATATTCAACAAAGAGGAACCAAGCCAAGTCCAACCCACAACAAAGGTTAAGTACTTCTCGGGGAAAGTTCTGGATTTACTTGGAAAATACACTATCTTCTTGCTCAACAATCTGACTACCTCTGCTAATTACAGTACATAGCATCTAATGGTCCTGGGTCTTTTTGCTTGCACACAGAACAGTGAGTGGTGGACTGCCTCTACAAGACTCACAAGAAGTGTGTGATGTTCAGATATTCCTGTTCTCCCCCTTACTTCACCTTCTCCTGTATGCCACTCACCCCTCCCTCATGGGAGGTATGGTTTATGAAAGGGTCACTAGCAGATGTGAGTTAGTGACTTGTAACAAATGAACCCCGTTAACCTTCTTTGATCATTTGGAGTTTCATATTACTCTGAGGAAATGTTGCTGCTAAATTCAGCTAAATCCACTCTGCTGTATGAACGAGGACCAGTGTGTGCTGGAATAAAGTAAATTACATTTAATTGAGTTACTAGTTTAACCACATATTTGTAAAAACAAACACAAAGGCTAATACAGCAACTAATAAGAAAATCCCATTACACAATAGCAACTTCTAAACATAGTGTGATATAAATATACCCTGGATGTTTCATGTGTACAATTAAGAGCTCTTTAGAAAAGTGATTATTCTCCGTGGCCTACCTAAGGATCTCTTTGATGATGGCCTTCAAATATGGCATTTTGGAAAGGTCATCTGTAGTGGGAACCTGGAGTCCGGGGCAAACAGAGGTGATTTCTTGGTACAGACGATCTTGAACACGCTGGTCTCTGGCCAGGTGGTACAGAGTCCAGGACATGGTGTTTGATGTCTGCATGTCAGATTAAAAGTAAAAAAAAACATTTTCATTAATAGGAGGAATTGTAGGAAAAGAGAAACGCTAGTTTAAGACAATATCACCCATTTAAGGCCACATCCAAAAATACGATCTCATATAATGTTTTGTCAGACAACCCACACTCAACTTAAAATTGTTAAAAATAACAAATATTGCAAAGACCAGTTGAAAGTCACATGCAATTGCAAATCACATGCAATCATAGGCATGACTCCTGGCAGCTTCACCTAAGCTTCTGGCACTGTTACAAAAATCTGTCAATCCCTTCTATTAATGGTGAAAGACTGATTTGGAACGACATGTCATTTGATGCGACTTTATGTGGTTTTTACCTGCAGGGATACCCAAAAGACAGAATATTGCAGGCTAACCCATGTGTTACTGAGAATTAAAAGATTAGTACACTTCTGAAATGCGTTAATACCTAAAACGTAATTCAACAGTACCCTCGAGGGACATGGGTGCACGTAAAGGAATACTTAAGTCATTTTAAAATTGTGAGATTTGTTTTATTTTAAATGCAATTTACAAGTACCAGGTTGAGCTGTCTTTATTAAAATGCTTCCACATGAATATCAAAATGTTTCAAATTCTTAGGATGGTTAAAAAAAAAAGGTTCCAAAACATATGAAAGACGAGATTGAAGAGGTAGGGAAGACAGACGAAAGACAGGAGGAGAAGGTTGAAGAAACTGTCCTCTTTTGAAAGAGCAGACTGCAGAATACATTCAGATAATCTGAGCACTGAAGAGATCAACTTTAGGATTTATGGCAAGAGAATGTTGCCTTATAGTTGTGCAAGGATCTATGTCTTATTTCTGGTATCTGCCAGGTTAAAGAAATATCTCACTTGTTCACTATTCACCATCTGGAATAGGAAGAAAGGTTCTTGCTTGTTTCGTATCCATTTTAGGTAGATTTCTGCATGGGGCCCCTTATCTTATAAGGAGCAGGTCCTCTCTTTTTGCTCTGGAGTGTTTGTGCCTCAGTTGAGGGTTCCATTTCCCAGTTCTATGAAAGAAAGGGTCCCGGTACTCATAATCTTTGTGAATATCTATACATAATAGTGCTGTGTGTTTTGCAAATAATTGTAAAGAAATATTGCCTCGCCTTTGGACAGGTTGCTGCCTTGTTCATTATTCTGTTACATTACTGCGCCAAAAAAGAAAGAAAACGTGTACTTGTAAGGGATCTGCTTTACAAATCTCTTGCACGATAAACTGGTAAGGAGTTTATTTTAATATGTGAACTTTAACCTACTCTATGATTCATACCGCCAGGTTTTTACAAATGCGTCCCCTGCAGAGACTGCTGTCCTACCCCTGAGCGCGTTTATGTCACAATTGTAGTCCCCCCCCCTTAAGGGCGCTCCGGCTCCAACTCACTTCTGAGTTGATTTTGTGCACCTGCCCTCTGTTCCAGCCTCCTATCCAGCCCACCTTAAAAGCCAGAAGCTCACTCTGTTCCGGGCTCTGCATTGGTTCCTGTACCAGGCGAGTCCAGGACCTATAGCGTCTGGTCCCATTCCCACCTTGTTCCCCCCGAACCGATCCCGCTCCGGTTTTTAATCCCATTTGTCTTCGTCTCTGATGGACCGCTCAGCTCTGGACATTTGCCTCGTCTTGGATTTCCCTTTGGACACCCTTTTGGACAGTTTGCCTTGGATTCACCCCCCAGAACACCTACGCACCATGGACATGCCCTCCGTTTTCATTCCCAACACCTGCGTGCTTTTTTCCCCCGTGTTTTCCTCACTCTACCCAGATTGTGTCGTCTGCATAGGGTCCGGAAAGAACGCCTCCATTACAGTTTATTTAATCCATATCTCTCCAGTCCACTCAGCTGTATAAACAAGAACCAGTGTGTGCTGGCGAGAGGCCCTCTAGTGGACAGGGGAACGCTGAGTGTTCAGATCGCTTCACACCTAGAAGCCAAGATAAGTTCTGGCCCGATGAGCCACTGGGTGTGGCATGAATGGAATTTCCTTTTTCTTAATTTTTTTATCACATTGAGCAAGAATAAAATATAGTTTCACTAGAAACAAGACAGCACTCACCGTGTCCACTCCTCCCAGCAGTAGTTCTGTGATGCTGACATAGATTTCGTCCAGCGACAGTTTTTTGGAGGACAGCAGGTAGGTGAGGTACATCCCCTCTACAGTTTCACCTTTTTCAATTTTCTCGCTCATCTCCTTCACCTTTTTATCAATCAGCCTCTTTGCTGCAACAACAACAGCCAGATGTAAGAACAAGTCACTGTTCGTTCACCTCCTGCTGCCTTCAGCAGGTGATGGAGACGTCATTGCTTAGATGACAACTCTTTGTTCTGGAGGAAAGAACTGTCATCACATTCATGCACATTCATTTCAGGAGACAATCATAATTCCAGCAACAAAAAGTAGGTTCCTTTAGAGAAAAACAGAGATCTGTAGGCTTTGGCCTTCAGCTGGGAGATGTCTCATGGAGGAGGGTGCTCAACCCAGGGGGACGACAGTGATAACTGTCCCTCTCCAGGGGAGAAGTTGTGGCAAGTTTGCCTCCAGCTGTGGTGTTGTGGGAACTAGAAAACAGCACTCACACGAGCGCAATCATTACAACCGATAGCCTCTTCCCGAGGGAAGTTTATGAAACCGGTGGTAACCTGTGAGGGAGGGGTCATCAGAAAAGATGACATCCAATGAACCTCTCTGCAGTGTGAACACACCACAGTGTCCCCTTTGTCATGCCCTCTGCAGCCAGAGGGCGCTCCTTCTCTGTCCTGTCTCTTGTTTCCGGTGCTTTGGTGTCCTTCCGGTGTTTCTCTCTCTCTGGGGCTATATATTTTTGGGTCTTTCATTCGCCTTCGCTAAGCATTGATGTTCGGATGTCCTGAAACCTGCCTAGCACCAGGTTGCCCCACGTCCGCTACCTGAGGGCATAGGTTTCTATACGCCATTCCCTGAAGAGCTGAGCCCGGGCTATCCCCCGTCTCGCTTTCCTGTCATTCCACGGTTCGTCCTTTCCGACATCTGTGACACCCTTGGAACGAGCAGACATTTTGCCAAACCAAACAGTTATAGAGGCAGTCAGAATTCTCTCCATACTAGCTCTATAAAACTATCAGAGACACCAAAGATTTTCAGTTGGTGCAAAAAGTACCATCTCTGCCTCATTTTCTTTGTGATACTGGTGGCACAATAAATGTTCCATTTAAGGGTATTGGAGATCATAATTCCCAAAAAATGAAAGGTCCCCACCACACCACACACAAAAAGGTTTTGGAGAATGTGAGAGTTAGAGACCTCACACCGAGGACTAACACTGGCTCCCACTGATCATGCATCAAGTGTGCACAAAGCCAGCCAATTACAGTACACCCATGCCTGTACATACATGTAGGTAATTGGTCCCTCCAAACCTTTTCACAATGAAAAGTAAATTGTCTTTACATTACAGGTAAAAACTAATTTCAGATGTCTAGCAAATCACCCAGTATTTCTCATTGGCACCATCTTAAGAGTAGTGACTTGAAAGAACAAGCACACCATTGTATGTTTATGATCATTAGCCTATTTAACAGCACTTAACAAGCTGGAATCGAAAGCTGTAAATTATTCAAGCACAGCGCTGCCAAGTTCAAGACAAAGCAAATGTCTTTCGAGCTCAGGTATTTTTCTGTCCCTCCCATCTCTTCACATTTAACCTCTGGGGGAATGCTTTTCTTATTAACCACTGGCACATGTGTTGCAAATACAGTATATCAAAACTAAAGAGGACATTTCATGGTAAAAATCACCAAAGAAGTAAAATTGAAAGGGAAGTGATTTTGTTGTAGTAAAATAGGCTATTGAAATATCTGCTGGGACCCAAAGAATAATGGATTAATAAGCTAAAAAAGCTAAAAAAATTGCCAGATGGGCCCAATGCCCACTCATAGTCTTATGATTACATTTTCAATCTACCAAAACCAAAATCAAGCAGCACTGTACCCAGGTACTCAAACAGTGGCACAAAACAGGTTAAACGTTTCATGGAGAGTTTCCTCATGCACTATACTGTGCTGTCACAATAACAGAATAATAGACAATGCAAAGGTGTTTCAGATTAATGAAATTAATTTAGTGAAATGATTGATTAACGATTAATGAGCAGCCCATGATAGCCCTCCAGCCCCACTGTCAGCACCCTTACCAACATCATAGAGGTCGTCCCAGGAGCTCACAAACTTCTCCCAGAAAGGCAGAAAGGAGCGGGTCCACCTGGGGAAGAACAGGACGGGCTCCGAGAGGCGGAGCATCTCCCCCACAGCCTGAATGAACCTCTGCGTGTCGGGGGGAATCTCCTCGTCCAAGCAGCCCAGGCGTGTCTCAAACAGGATGGAGGAGATGCCTGAAACGCAGAGACGGGACAAATCAATGAAAATCCACAGATGTGCAGCCCCTACGGGCTTTCAACGACTGTCCCAGTGTTTAATAGTGAAGAAAGACACAAGATGTGAAGAAGGGGTTAACTGATTCCTTTCTGGATGAGGACTGGACTTCTAAGTCACAGGCTAGAGTTATGGCAGAAAAGCGGGATAACTGATAAGGATTCCAGATGCCAGCTAGGAAACCCCCTAGGGAAGGGAAACTAACACTGAACATTTGGCCAAAGTCTGTAAACTATCCGAACACCATGACCTCCCCCCCTTTACCATAATAATGAGCTACGTCAGAAGCAGCAGCAAAGGGCTATTACCATAGTAAGGAGCTATGTCAGAACGGCAGAAGAGGGCTATATAAACTGGAAGTTTTGTACCGCCACTTTGAACCATACTTCAGTTTTATTGTTCCCTGCATGCAATAAACTCATCTGTTTAACTTCATCTCGGGATCCAGAACTTATTTTTCTGTTACAACAATAGGCTATGATCAGGTGTCACATCCTGCTGGTAGCTTTCTTTGTAACCAGCTTGAAATTGCATGCATTGCATGCGCAGCTTCGGTTCAGGTTATTTAAATACTTTAATTATCACCGAGGAACACATTGACTGCAACCCAGAACGCCAAGAGATCCACCACCTGCATTGCCAAGCAGCACTCGCCCCACTTCTTCAGAAACTAGTGACACACGATAATGTTTTGCATGGGTTTTGTCTATGTGCTCTGGTTTCCTCTCCCAGGTCAAAAGACATACTGGTACAGTAGGTTAATTGGCTTCTGGGAAAACTGGCCCTGGTGTGTGGATGAGTCTATGACTGGGTCTGTGTGTGTTTGCCCAGAGATGGACTGGCGTCCTGTCCAGGGTGTACCCTGCCTTGTGCCCATTACTAGCCAGGTTAGGCTCCAGCTTCCCCACGACCCTGATTTAGATAAAGCAGTTAGAAAATGGATGGATGGATAATGGTTTGTACCCTAGTAATAAGGAGTTCAGTTCTTGGAGAGATGAAGGATCTGTTGACTTTCATTCTCACAAGTCTGTCTTTAGTTGGTCCAATTATTTAATTTCTGTGTTGTAATCGTGAAAAAAAGTACAATGACTATGGCACAAAAAACAGCTGATATCCCTGTGCCAAAAACATTTGCATAAGCTGCACAAATGACTATTGTCTGTTTTAACTGGAGCATCAAAATTAGGTTAAGATATCAAAGGAGAAATGACTAACTAAAAAAGACTGGGGAAATTTAAAAATGATTTGCACCGCTTAATAAACAGTTTTGACGTCGTTAATGGAAGCTCGTTCATACCTTCAAACCCAAATCTGTAAAGCTCGTCCGTCAGGTTGCTGACCCTAGTGCCATCTGGACTGCGCTGACGGAGACTGTAGATTCGTTGTAGAAGGTCAGAGACCACCTTGTTGATCACCGGAGCATAAGCTGATGCCTCGTGCAGCTTCAGCATCTTGGGATTCAAGACGCTGCGGATTCTGTACCACTCTGGTCCTGTACTGCGAGTCAGGCAGAAAGTCTGAGTGACAGTGAGTCGTGGAGACTTACCCTCTCAGTTCCGCAGATGCAGTAGCAAAACCCTATTGTTGTAGTTCTCAGAAGTGACTATTGAACTACAGGATCTCAAGGATCTGGAGCCAATCATTAAAATTTGGCTAGCATCGGCATTGACAGTTCTCAGCTTCAAAGCAAGAAAGGACCTGGGGAATTTACAAAGTCATACTGGGTCAGAAACCTAATGCTTAGTGGTGTCGTTAAGTTTTTTTTAAATGTTAATATTTGTTTAACCCAGTGTGCCTGACTTATTACCTGACAAGCCTTTTGTGAAAATAGAACAACAAATTTGAGTGCCTCTAACTAAACCAACAGCTCTGGTATATTGGCAAATTTACCATTTCAGGGGGTATGATTATTATTGTCTAAACTCCTATTTGTCTCACTCTTTTAGCTGGTTTAATGAAAAAAGGAATTATCAATAGTTTGATTAGCAAGGACCGTTAGAAAGCAGTAAACGTGACTATTTGGAACGGATGTTTTTTTTTTCCCCCATTTTGTAACAATCTGTAACTAATTTGCTGGAAGAAAGGGACTTGTTCGATGGCAGCGAGGTCTACACACAGGGAATATTCCCCTAAGAAACAGAATAGTTGATTTTCTCTTACATGTGACCTCAATTCAAGGTCCTCTTTATTGTCTTTCTACACTTATACAATATACAGGAGAGAACGAAATCTAGTTCCTCCTGGGCCACAGTGCACAATACACTAGAACAATCAGAATAATGTCACAGAACAACACAGGAGGGGGGGGGTTTATAGTATAGGTAAATAAATAAGAATAAAATAGTGTAATGAGCAGATAAATACATTGATAAATGGATATTTACAGTAGTAATGTGCAAATAAGCATTTTGAAATACAGGGGTGGTGTAGGGGGGAACAGGAGACAAGTGCAGACAATGGTGTTATGTCTATGCCCTGCACAATACGACAGGGCAAACATTTCAGGGCATACAGTCATCGAGATGGTAGTGATAGTACAGCAGTGGGTGGGTGGTCCATGTGCTGTCTGGAATTCAGTAATCTAACAGTCTGTGGGGACAAAAAAGCTATTTCTGAGCCTGGTGGTGCTGGCTCACAGGCTGCGATACCGTCTTCCAGAAGGCAGGGGTGTAAAGAGACTGTGAAAAGGGTGAGAGGGGTCTTTGATGATGGTGCTCTCCTGGCACACTGCTTGCTGTAAGTGCACTGGATGGGGGGCAGTGAAGTCCTGGTGATGGACTGGGCTGTATTCACCACACGCTGCAGAGCTCCCCAGGCAGAGACAGTGCAGCTCCCATACCAGATGGTGATGCAGCATGTCAGGATACTCTCGATGGCGCACCTATAGAAGCTTGTGAGAATGAGGAGGGGGGGGTGCTAGTCCGGCTGTTTTCAATCTCCTCAAGAAGTGGAGACGCTGTTGTGCCTTTTTAACTAAGTGTGATGTATTGTGGGTCCAAGAGAGGTCTTTTGTGATGTGCACTCCCAGAAACTTGAAGCTGTGCACTAACTCCACCGGCAGGAGTCCTTCTGAGGTCCATCATCTTTGATTGACCACTGAGAGACAGATTGTTGGCCTTACACAAGGCTCCACTTCATCCTTGTGGGCTGATTCATCGCTGCTAGTGATGAGGCCCACGACTGTGGTGTCATCAGCATACTTGATGATATGATTACTGCTGTATTTGGCAACACAGTCATGGGTCAGCAAGGTATACAGCAGTGGGCTGACCACTGTTCAGAACGATGGTGTGGGAGGTGTTACCATGAATCCTGACAGCCTAGGACCTGTTGCACAGTGGAGTTTTCAGACCCAGTGAGGACAGCTTGTGTACCATTCGTTGGGGGATTGAATGCTGAACTAAAGTCTATGAACACCATTCAGTCTTTGGCCTCCAGATGGGTCAGGGCCAGATGTACTGCAGCGGCGATGGCATCTTCGGTAAATCTATTGTGGTGATAGGCATACTGGTGCAGGTCTAGTGTGGGCGAGATAAAGGTCTTGATGTGTGACATGACTAGTCTCTCAAAGCACTTCATAATGACTGGGGCGATAGCCATTGAGGCTGGATACTGGTGATTCTTGAGACAGCCTGAGCCAGGGAGGTGTTAAAGATGTCGGGGAGGAACTCCACTAACTCACTAGCGCACAGGGGATGCCGTCTGGACCTGCGGCTTTGCCTGTGTTAACTCTTGCCAGAGTCTTCCTTACGTCAGCTAGGGAGACAGACAGCACCTGTTTGCCAGGGGGAGGCACTGCTTTCATGACTGGGGTTATGTTGAGTGCCTCGAACCAGACGTAGAATTTGTTCAGCATATTGGGCAGGGACACATTCCCCATCATCAACACTTGTTGTTTCTTCTCTTGTAGTCAGTGAAGGTCTGTATGCCCCGCCACATCTGCCTCGGGTTCTTGTCCACAAACTGCCAGCAGATCTCCCCCCAACTTATCTCAGGAAGGAAAGACTTTTGCTTTCCTTCTGTACTTAAGATTTCGGGGAATAAACCTTTGTTAACCAATGCTTTTGATTCTCAGGGGAAGCTGGAAAATGCTAACAAGTCAACTGGGCCATCAGTTTTACTGCATTAAAGCAAATGATTCTGACACAGCCGTACAGCTTTTTTAAGGATAAAGAACATTTTCGTGACCTTTTAGCACTTCTGCCGTCCCATTACTTTGCTGTCATTTTTCAGTTGTTATGAAACTACGCCGCCACGTATGAGAATGTAGATTAAAATAAAAAAAAATACCTACTCCACATGCAGGCCGTATGCTTGCCCTCTCAGGTCACGGTATTCCTTCCAATGTGGCATGTCGGTACGGACTGGGTACCTCCCCTCCTGTCGGATCACTTGGGCTATCAGGTCTGCAGTCGCCACATTAACCACTTCAAAGGGACCGAACCGGGAACGCCAGATCGGCCCATACAGCTTCTTGTGCTCGACCTTGAGGAGCAAATCACATAACACAGGTAACAGACCTTCACACATTTGCTTTCAGAACCAAGCACACCATGAAAAAAAAGAAACAAGGAAAAGTTTGCTGTCCCCTCTAATAAAAGAGCTTGTATTACTGTAGGCCCTGTTCTACATGCTTCTGGTTGCCGTGGTGCGCTAATTGCTTGTTTAACATTTCAGTCTACTTAAGTTTCAGCTCATCTTTTTCAGACGGAAAAAAACAAACTTTCCAAACCAACATTTCAAGCTGGAGCTCAAAAACTCCTGTTACTTTTAAACCAAGGAAAATCCGTCTGGTCCATTGAATATGGAATACCATAACAGCAGATCACTTGAAAAAAAATATTAATTTATTTATATACAGCATATATCTGGTTAATTTTAACATTCATAGTTTATCTTCCCAAAGACATAAAAGGAGCTCATACCACTCTGAGCTGAAGCACTGTGGGTGTAAATTCATGTTACAACAATAATATGCTGCCGTATTGTCCATATTTAGTTGCATTTGAGTATGTTGGTTAATATATTGGCATCTGAATGGAGCATTGTTCATCATTTCCAATTCAATAGCCATATAAAAACATGTAGTAACCTGAGTTTTAATAACCTACACATGTTAGGAATGTAAGCACATTTACCTTTTGAAGAGCACCTATGATATTTCTGTCTAAAAACCAGGCCGCCTACACATCTCGATAAATCCTTATTGCATTCCAAACTTTTTCATTGCAGGGAAGAATTAAGTTCGAATTAAGTTGCAAATTCACTATGCCCAAAGGTTAAAGCTCAGCGTTTTGGATTTTTTTATGCCCTTTTCCTGACCTCTGCCTTTCGACACCTTTATCCCAGAGATGTTTTATAAGCTTCTTGGTCTCCATGGTTGAATTTGTGCTTGCAATTCATGACCAGCCTGAGAAGGGCAAGACCGGTTCTATAGAGACAGGTGTTATTTATTCTGAAATCATGTGAACCATTATTATTGTGCACAAAGACTATTCATCTAATAGGATGACTTGTCAAAGCAATTTTGTACTTAGGGACTATTTTAGGTATAGTATGTCATAGCTAAGGGGATAATTAGTTAGGCAATTAACATTTTAGCATTTTATTTTACTTTGCAGTTTTCATTGAGATTTTGTTTTTCATCCTTAAGAACGTTAAGCTGGGGCATTCACTTTTTGAGTAAATATTTACTTTAAAAAATTGTGTATACATTACACACAGGATAGAGAGAGAGTTTTGAGTGAATAGCTGCTTAAGTCTGCAAAGGTACAAGCAGAGTTAATTCCATGCTGAAAATTAGACCAAAACAAACTTCAATCCCTGCACCTTTTCTCAGTCTTCCTTATATTGTACCTAAATCATTTTTTTTTTAACTTTAAGCATTGCGTTAACCTCTACTTGTTCATACTTTGACTCTACCAATGATACCATGCATTTTAATACACATTTTATTCAAAATATCTAAATGCTACAGTAAATAAAGACTTCAAAGGCTATAAGAAATATATTTTGTCTGGTCTCTCCAAAATACCTTTTGGCAAATGTCTGCAGTATCATTTACATTATAAGCCCCCTGTGGGACCTGAGATACTCAGTTTCATACAAATCCCATTACAGAAGTCTTATTATTGACTTATGGACATTTTCTCCCATCTCAGTCACTGAACAAAAGTGCCATTGACCTCACAGTGGCATCCCTAACCAGTTTCCTCCTTATCCACTGCTCAGCCTAATCTAGACAGTGTCTGGTTGTCTTGTGCTTCACAAAGATTTGAGTCAACATACTCATCGAGATATTAAAGGTCTTTGAAATGTTTTAATACTCTTTGTCAGGGTTGACATCCTTTCTTTAGAGGGTGCTCTAACCTTTCCTGAAATCTCTGTAAGTCTGATGTCTGCATTAGCTCTTGGTGTGTATTGTATTTTGACTTCTGTATATAAGCCTAGGAGATCCAGTGCTCAGGGCTCAGCATTGGAACATCAATGTCCCAAGGCCCACCTACTACCAGGCTACATAGATGCCTGAGGGCATAGGCCTTACCAGAGACAAGTAATAGGTTTATTCCATGCTGAAAAGGGAAGAAAGAAAACACAACATTTCGGCCATGGAGCCTTCTTCAGGTGTGACCTGGTGCTAGGCGGGTCCCAGGACAACCGAACCCTCAATGGTGAGTGAGGAGGAAAGGGTGACCCGGAAATATATAGCCCCACACAAAGACACACCAGGACAAGCAAAGCATAGAGAAACTAGGAACAGGACAAAGTAGGAGCGCCATCTAGCTGTAGAGGTCATGACAATTGCAGAGGTGTTTTGAAAGCTCCTTGGTCTTCACAGTTGAATATTTGCTTGAAATTCACTACCTGTCTTACAGAGACTTGTGCATTTATTCTGAAATCATGCGAACCACTGTTATTGCACCCAGAGGCATCTCAAGTGTTAGCAATGTGCACCCAAATTCATCTAGGTCCGCAATACCCCTGGGATTGAATACTTATTCACTACTGCATTTCTCATTTTTTCTTTCCTATTATGGACATCTGTGATTAAACTCCTTGTTAGTCATGTGGAATTTTATCCTTGAAACTTTATCTTATCTAAAGGCTGTGATAGGAGCAGGGCACCGTGATCTCTGGAACTCTTCTGTTACAACATCTGCAAAGTTAGGAACTTCTTTCGTATAACAGACCTACATATAAGGAATAAGTGCTAAAAACTGCTTTTTGTCATTTGTCAGGATGCATTTGATAATATTGCAGAGACTTAAGAGGTCATAAAACTGAAAAAAAAACAACAGGTAGAAACTGAACTATTTAAGTAACTGGGTGGGGTGTGAGAGGCACACCCATTACTCTGGTAACTTTGGGTTGCATTCTGTTCATTTTTGATGCTGGGCGTCTCGGTTGTTGGCCTGCTGAGGTATTATAAGGATTTCTGGTTACAGGGTTAGCATTCTGGGTTTCTGGGTCTCTAGAAGGTAGGCCTCTGAGATGCCTTGTTTTGTAAATGATGCTCTAAATTGAAATTTCTGATGACACAATCTTTACTGCGGCAGTACAGCACGTTCTGTTGCTGAAGCCCTTGTACACATCCTTTCCAAAGTCCAATTTGTGATTTCACGCGTTTTGTGATCAATTATCCGTTACAAGATTAATCTAACTGCTGTGCAGCTTTGGGAGAACCACTTGAACCTACATGCTGCTGTTAAAGAAAGCAGACCACAAAAAAAAAAACATTCTGGAGAAATTCACAAGTGATGAAGGGGGTTTGAGGGAAAATAAAGGACAACACAAACCCATTCAAAGCAGAGTTTCAAAGTGAATTTCTCATGGGATTTCTGAAGTCCTCTATACCATCATATACTCTTTTGATGGAAGATTTCAACAGCAGCCAGAGTCCACATTTGGCTTTTTATACTACTGTCTACCCACAGCTTGCAAAAGAAAACAGCAAAACATAAGGGAAGCACTAATGTGGAAATTCAAAAAGATATTGATGCTGCAGTTTTAATGGAATGAGCTTCAGGCTTTTTCAAAACTCCGGGCACATTACATTCCTGAATAATTACTGTAGTTTGTGAACTTGCCCATTACTATAGCTAGTGGGGAGCATAGCTATTCAAATCTATAATTAATAATACATCTGTCTTTACAATGGTGCAAGAGAGGCTTGTTAAACTTGCCACAGTATCAACAGAACATGAAATCACTGGAACACTGGATCTAAAAAAGAAAAACTAGCAACTGAAATTGCACAGCTCAACAGATGGTTGGACAGAAGGACAAACTGAATGATTAAACCTCAGAACTTAAGCTCTAAAAAAAAAAAGGTTTTACCAACCAGTTTGTAAACCTTAGGGGAGTGTTGATTGCATGGTTCACCTAGAGCACCAGCTGCTGGAAGCTCTTTTAGGGTGGTCCCCATCTCGGTCAGTACTATATGTTGTCTTTCATGCAAACTGATCTAGTGCAGAAACTATTGGACCAATCAACTCTAAGCGTTACGGGAAAATACAGCCATAATACGGGAAACAAACTGAAAGGTAAGACCATATCAGTAATTTCCTCAGGTATCCTTCCTTTACCAAATAAGGGTGAATAACCGGAAACTTTGATCCATAAACACAATGGAAGGCTGAACACATGGTGTTCTGAAAAGCTTTCCCCATGTCCCAACATATATTCCTTCGAGTGGATCACAGCTGAAGGAGAAGGCACGTCGGCCTGGGGAAGACATTCAAAAACCATTTCAACTAAAAACAAAAAGAGGAGGAATCCCGAGAAAACCTGCAAGTGACCTCCGTCAGAAAGAGAATGCTGCTATAAAAGAACACAATGGGGAAACCCGAAAAATAGATTAGGTAGAATAAAGATGGAGAGATGTGATAGGAGCATATGTCACGATCATAGTCCCTCCTATTAAGGGCGCTCTGGCCCTTTCGTATTTTAGTTGATTACACGCACCTACCCCCTGTTTTGTCCGTCTTTATTTAAGCCGGGCTCTTCCGCTCTGCATTGGAAGACGGACGCCCGGAGGCCCGCCTACCATCAAGTCGCCCTACGTCCGCGGCTTGAGGGCATAGGCTTCCTAACAGCGTCCTGACCTAGCTGAGTCTGGGGCTCGGAGCGCCTGGCCTTGTCACCCCCTTTTAATCTCCTTGTTCCATGTTCCTGTTTTTTTGTAATCGTTCCGTCTTGGAACGACCTCCCGGTTTTGGTGCTTGGACCACGCCTCGGATACCCTCTTTTGGACTGATCTGGACCTGTTCCCCTGCGCCACGCCTCCTCGAGCACCAGATCGCCATAGTCACGTCCCCCTGTCTGCCATCCCGTCCTTCTCCTACTGCTTTTCTCTTTAAGTCTTATTCCAGTCACTTCCGGATTATACCGTCTGCATAGGGTCCAGAACTACGCATTGTGACAGCATAATACTGTCCATCCGTTACAATACAGTCTTCCATACTGAAATCCTGAATGTTTGTTTTCCCCAAGTTGTAGCATTACATGTACATTGGGAATGTCAAGCTGAAATAGAGATGTCAAACATGATGAATAATTGCTTCCTTACTCATTTTGCCTGGGAGGCTACTAGAATGAATGCCTGCACTGATCTAAACCTTTTTCCTAACAACACAAAATGTTAGAAAAACATGAGTAAGAAAAGCATTAGGGGACATGATGATTCCTAATCAAATCATAATCTGATCAGCTTTAAGGTATGGTTTCTGACCTTCTCAGACCCAGAGGTCTTTACCACTTCAGGAACGCAGACTGAGAAATCACAACAAGATCAGGAAACTGAAGTTCTGTTCTATTTTTTCTTACAGTCCTTACATCCAAACTATACTTATTAGTGATATGAAATCTCTATGATTCCATCAAAACATTTAACATTTTATCCATTAAAAAAGTGGTTGGATAGCAGTTACACTGGAAAGTTATGGGAAAAAATAAACAGAATTTAAAGTACAGTGCCTTGCAAAAGTATTCACCAACTACCAAAGATGCCCAGGGTGTATCCTGCCTTATACCCAATTGCCTGGTGGTATAGACACCGCCCCCCTGACCCTATATTGGATAAAGCAGTAGAAAATGGATGCTTTAGACTCTACCTATGCACTTATAGATCATAGGTCATAGTCTCGGACCTCTGAATTACAATAATTGATTTGTTTAATAATTGATTAACAGAGGCTGTCTTCAAACAGATGATCTGTAAGACTTAATGGATTTGGGCTCTCTGGGATCACCGATAGGCCCTGATCCTAACAGAATTACCCAATTCAGTTTCCAATGGCTTTTGATTGTGCAACTTCCTTGCTTGATGAAAATGTCAACAGAAACTCTTTCTGCAGTCTGTATTGCTTTCTGTATATATGACTTAATAAGTCATCATAATAAATTAGCTCCAGCCCAGGGCTGAACTTTTTAAGTTGTCTGCGGTGCTTCATCAAATGAAAAAAACAAATTGCATTGTTATAAGAATCTGGTAAAAAACAAAACTTTACTTTACAAAACTTTACTCTCTGTGGTCATTAAAAATCCCAGGGCGTTTCTCGAAAAGAGTAGGGGTGTAACCCCGGCATCCTGGCCAAAATTTCCCATCGGCCTTTATCAATCATGGCCTCCTAACAATCCCCCTCTATAAATTGGCTTAATTACTCTGCTCTCCTCCCCACTGATAGCTGATGTGTGGTGAGCGTTCTGGCGCACTATGGCTGCCGTCGCATCATCCAGATGGATGCTGCACATTGGTGGTGGTGGAAGGGAGTCCCCGTTACCTGTAAAGCGGTTTGAGTGGAGTGTCCAGAAAAGCGTTATATAAATGTAAGCAATTATTATTATTATTATTATTATTATTACTTTCAATGTTCCTATTGTACTGTAGCAGCATGGATTATTATTAAAATTCTAATTGTTCTAATCTACTCAATATTATTAAAACTCTTTCTGAATATCATCCTTAGCACCTCTGAATCACCTCCTGAAGAATGTGGCCAAGATGGGACTCTCTGATAAACATGTCCAAGCCAGGGCATTGTAAATTAAGTTCGTCATTGACACCTCCAGTGGTAAAGAGAAAGAGTCAGTGCCTCCTCTGCAAACCCAATAATGTACCATAAATATTTTAAAAGATCTGGACCTGCATAAAATCTCTCAAAAGGGAAATGGTCAAGTTGCTTTCCAACACTGGTGGAAACTGCATTGGTTTCTCAATAACAGGAAACCTACAGTAAATATAAACTGGGGTTTTTGTTTAAACGCCAAATGAATTCAATGAATGTGCCATTTGCAAACGCTGCAATGACGGCGATAAAAGAAGAAAACGTTCTTGAGACTCAAAAGTTAAATTAAAGGAGAACTAAATCTTCTTCAACCTAAAAATAAAAAGTCAGTTGTAGAAAAGCAAACTGCAATATGAGATAACATTTCGAAGTTACGGAACTCGTGTAAACAGAAATTTATCAAATCAAAATAGATGCGTGATTAATTTCCAACCGCGCTCCACCCGTGACACTGAGCAGAGCGATGCTCCACTGAGAAACAGAAATCACCACAGGAGGTTTTGGGCGCGTCCTACACAAGAGCAGGCCCGGTTACCGTACAACGCCTGATTGTCATAACACTGCAGGGCAATTTGCTGCCCATGGTTTCATGTTGACCCTACATCTTGAACTCACAGAAGACACAGCTTGTTACTGAGAATCAAAGAAATATCAGCCTTGCTGCCGTTAACTTTAGACACTACAATATTCTTCGCCTGGCTGTGCCCCTGCTGTCCTTGGTTTCCATTACCCATAATGCCTGACCCTCCCTGCTGTCCATATCGCAGGTGTAATCAGATGAACAGGATGCAACAGTTGTTCTGTACAGCTTGATGTTCTCCCTCATCTGCCAGTAGCATTCCTGTATACGGAACAAGTTCTTAGGGAGGACTCTGTTGCAAGAAAGTCTTAGAGCTGCCAGGGCAGAGCTCAAAGCTGCTGTCCTGTTCTGGTCCAACTGTAACCAAGGCCATTTGCTATTTTCCTCCAGCACCAGATCGTTGGTCAAACTGGTGGACAGAGATACCTGCCAATACTGTCAACCATTGCCGGATGCCTGTGTCACTGTGAGCAGTCATTTGTGCACTGCTAAGACTTCACTGCAGGCTGTTCTTGTCCTGCATTCTGAGCAATAGCACGGAGCAGGGACTGTTTCGACTCCCAGACAAAACACCTCTCTCTGTAATGGCTAACCAAACAAGCCATTTCCTGTTCAGTGGCTGACAATAAGCTAAATTGTATCAAACTTTTTAAACCCTATTGTAATTAGTGCTATTTCCTGGTATCGTTTGGGAGGGGGGCGCACTAGTAGTTCCTCTAAATCAATTTCCCTTGGAACAGTGATTTGGAATAGTTGCAGATGTAATGTATTAAAATAAATGCAAGCCTCAAAAGGCTGAAAACCCGTGAGGCGTGCTGAATCTATATATAAACAGCACTGTAAACTTGCTTGGAGGGATTTCAAAAAGACCAGATATTTTTGAAATTGTGGGTATTTGAAAGAAGCTACACAGGAGAGAGAGAGCTTCTGGGATTAGCTACAAGCAACCGAATGGCCCGTCCTTTGTAACCTCTCTAAAAACAAAATTATAAGAAAAATAGCTAATGTTCCTGCGTTTAATACAGTCATACATATGTAACTTTCAACCGCAGGCAAAATAAAAGATCAGCATTTACAAGACAAAAACTCTTGAAAACGGTTCAGCGGTCTAGGAAAGTAGCGAGCTACTGACATAACGGAGTCTCTGAACTGAACTGAACACATTTACCAATGGCATTTTAAAAAGCATGCAGATCTTACACGATGCCAAAAAATAAAAAAATATATAGTTAACAACTGAAAATAATTAATACAAATCCTGTGAATGCGAGTTATTTGTAGTTTGGCAAGGCTGATCAGCGGTTAGACGTATTCTGCATGCTACAAACTAAACTGTTATCCCAATTGTGTTAAGTTAGGCACAAACTCAAATTCAAAGTTCACCTGACGCTGCTAGTTATCAGACAGAACAGGTCAGACCTAAAACTGTGACCATTTTTAACCTTCCTCGCTATACTACTTGTCCAGTACGTCAAACTGCAAATTATTGCCATGTTTAATTTAAATCTTATGCACGCGTTTTATAAAACATACTACTTAAGAATCAAATCACTTCTTAGTCAGATAAGTCAAATACTGTACTATACCTTTAATTTTAATTCACGAACTGCACAGTCATCAATAAAAAGCAATCAGCTTTTATAAGATATACAGTAGTACTACATTGAATGATTGTTTGTTTTTTCTAACAAGGAAGAAAATAAGGAAACAATTCAAGCAGAAAAATTCACTTTTAAAAGTTTAGTAGCGTTTTTGTGAATATTTACACTTTTTTTCTTTAAAGGAACAGTCCGATAAAAACCTACATCTAAAAGTAGCCCAATACATTGTTACCGTTCAATTTTACCACATGCAACTACTGTAGCAGATCTCCAGTAAGGATAATGCTAAACTTTAAACTGGATTTTTTTTAAAAGCTTCAGGACAAAAAAAACAACTCCCAATTAAATTCGTGTAAAATGCATATTGCAAGAATGTGTGTCACGTTTAAATCTTTCGTTACCTGCATTGCGTGACTCTTGTCCGAATACCCCTTTCCGAAAAGCCAGTACACTGTAGTTGCCAAGCTTGGTCCTGGAAGATTTTCAATTCCCTTGTATTTACCATGGCTGGTTGTTTGTTCCCAGTTTATCTTCCCTATGTCTGATTTCAGCCTGTTTGTAGTCTGAAAAGCCCCTGCAACAAACAAATTGGAAAAGCGAAGTGATACTGGTCTCCACACCACGCTGGCCATGATGATGGCTTATATACTTCGAAGTGTCTTTGAATTGACTCGTAAAGACTCCTCAGATGAGTTTAGTCAACTTGCGACAGCAACACAAGTCTTAATTCAATTGAACACGCCCCCATTTTCCTGTCCTATACAGTACAGTGTTGGTACGTGGAGGCTGTGCAAACTCCTAAAGAAAATTAGACGAACCCCCATCAAGATAAGACGAACACGCATTTTGTTGTTGTTGTTGTTGTTTTAAAGTAGTTGTTTAACGGGGCGTGACCTCAGATTCTTTAAAATCATTTAGCTAAGGTGACTCAACTTTCTTAATTATTTATAATCATAATAACAACTGCTGACCACGGTTATTACTGTATCTGCTAGTAGCCAGAAATGCAGTAACAGTAACAGTAGGTTACATGTGCAAGGTGAATTTTGGTAAATAACATAGGATTATATGAAACATACAAATTATCCAGAGCATCACTTTAATTAAACTCAGTAGTCAGTAGTTTAATACAAGAATATGGATTAAAATGTCTATGTCTATGGCTGTGTGCCAATAAAAACATTTAATTAACTTTTGGTGCGAAAATTTAACGTTAACGTCCTGTCAGAATGTAATACTGTGTTATATGATAATTTTTCAAAAATAATTCTGATACAATATTTTCTGTTCATTTCATATTATTATTCCGAAATACAGAGTTTAATGTTACCCAAAATCGATAGTTCACCCACAGTATAATATGAGATATATTTTATTCGCTCTTTTACAGTGACTTTCCATTCATTCACATTAACGATTTTTTAATACTTATAAGGCTTTTAATGTGTGTTTTTTAAAAACAAAAGAGTGTTCTGAAGAGTGAACAATCACTGAGCTCAAAGTAAAAAGTACAGTCCCTTACAGACAAGGACAGAATTACAGAGAGTGTCGGTGGGGATTCTGAGAGGAAAATATATATATATATATTACTGTATGCTACAACTATCAGTTTTCAAATAATTTAAAACATCGAGTATTCAAATACTGGTGTTCTTGTAAATCTGTTAAATGATCTACTTAGGTTAGACTGCTTAGCAGTGCAAGATTCAATAAAGACAACAGTTTCTTAATGTTTAACTATATAATTATGTATCATTATATAGAAAATAACGATAATTCCTAAATTAATGTTATTTTCAGGCATTTACTTATGGTGGAAGAATGGTTCTGTTACCTCTAAAAATAAGTACATGATAGGTGTAGTAGTATGTATGATGTAACAAAAACCTTTTTACTCATCAGTAAATGTGTCTTAAGAATACAAATGGTTCAAAGTAGTTAATTTGCACAACTTTTTTTACTTTGCTTTTTAGAAGGCTGTTTTCCCATCGTTCCCATTTTCAGTGTTATCATGGAGTGTTTTAGATCTCACTTATGTGATAATATCACCCTTGTGATATTGTGATATTACTTAACATGTTTTTGAAACATCTGTATTGACATGAGTTAAGACGTTATTAAAGATACTTTTTGTAGTTGTACTTGAAACAAAAAGATCCCGAGTTTTTATGTACACTATGCATTTTTGTGGTAGAATGATCAATGTCATCGCCTACATACTGTATTATTCACATACTATTTGAAGAAAAAGTGAGTCACCCTTGCCTTTTACACATGTAGCTTCTAAATATGAATCATCTTATATTGAGAAGCTCTCCATTTGAAACAAAAATAACATTTAAAAGGCACACCACAAGTCAAACTAGTTTGACAAGGAATATACCAGAGAATAAGCTGTTAACTGACCTATTAGTTTATATTTCTTTAAGTCTTTACCTGCCTGATTCTATATAGAAGTGGGGGCAGACAGCAGAATGTAATTATAATAAAGGATTTCCAGGTTAGAACATTTACTTTTGTCAAAGTGATACTGCTTTAAACTTACTGTGAATGTACTGTACATGGCCTGTTAAATCCACAGGAATCAAAATAATGAAACATGAAATGAAACGCTGGCTAGACCAAAAAGATAACTAAAACTAAAAGAGATCAAAGTTTCTCCCGTCGTCCACAGATGTACTTTTTTTTTAAATCAAAATAAACTTTATTTCAAAGAGCAACATTCTTACAACCTGCACACGATTAATGCTGACACATTATGAAACCACCGTAAAAAAAAAAAGACTTTCCGAAAGAGGTGATTGTCCATTTTCAATCAGTGCAAGTGGACGATGGGGGCAGATTTGTGCCATTATAGAGTCCATCCAGGCCCTACCACTTGTTCTACTCCATCAGTTCCTGTACAGGGGCCCAAAGTCCCTTCCAGCACTCCCTCGCCGTGGAGAGACCCCATTTGGCGACGTCGTGCTTCATTCTCCCTCTGAGGTCCGCCAGAGTCCTCTCCTCCAGCTCCCTCGCTCCCCCCTCTGTGTTGTGCCGGATAAGAGAGTGCTCCTTGCGTTCCACAGTCCTTATTTTACATGGGATACCAGCAGCCAAAGCAAGTACTGTGCCCCTTTGTCCAATCCAGTCGGTGCCACCTCCGGCAGGATGCGCTGGTAACCGAGCACCACCCCCACTCCCAGAAGTTGGAACGTTTTGTGCCAGAAAACTGTAAGTATGTGGAAATTCCATTCATCCTTTTTTTAGTAACCACTTTATCCTTAGAGGGAACAGAATAGGGTGGATTTATAGGTCACTGCCAGTGCATCACTGGGAATACACACATGCCTACACAGGGCAGTACAATAACCTGGACAGGATATCTTTGGAAAGTGGAAGGAAACCCAGGGGACCTTTAAAAAACATTGCACAGGGAAAACCCCACACGGACAAAATACAGTAGGGGAGTATGTAGGGCCGAAAACTGGAGACACGTTTTTACACAGAGAATCACGGGGTCTGGAAGAAACTCCAAGGCAACAATTATAACCTTACTGGAGGAGTCTGAACCAACTTTATATTAAAAATAGTCACTTTACATACACTTTTTACACTGTTAATCAGCAAAATGGGACATCTTTGGTAGGGGGTGAATTCTTTTACACTGTAAAAGTACTGTATTTTCAATTCTCTTTATTTTTTTCCGTACATTTCCAGTGAAACAGTTATTGTATCTCATTTTTAATTAATTATATGTTAAATGTTTCGATAGTATTGTACTGATAAGCATATTTTATCACAGATGATAAACTGTATTGATCGGATCATGGCCACGTTATATCTTTTGGATGTAACAATAAATCTTGTCACGGCGTAGTCTGGCCAACCTCGCGTTACTGATATGAACTTTCACAAACACAAAGTCCAAGGTCGCAACAGACCAGCTGCTGCTACAGTACAGCTCTGCTTTCACAGGATGCATTAACTTCACCCAATACAAATATAACAGTCCTTCACAGGTTCTCTACGAAGCCAAACAAACAGCAGGTGTGATCTTCACCAATAAAACTAAAGTGTTGTCTAGTCCTGGGTGGAATTCAGTCTGGTTCCATTGACGAAGTGGTTCATATTGTTTTTCAAGATGCTGTTCAGTACAACCAGGCCTGAAACTTGCAATTCTTAGGACAAATGACAGTTCTCAGGATCCATTCTTTTTTAGGCAAGGAGAAGAGAGCTTAAGGTAGAGGGAATAATAGAACTCTTAGAAGATGATGCCAGAATAATGTGCTGCAAAACCACACAGGATGGAGAACACATCAGTGGAAGAGAACAAAGATAGTTCAGATGGGTTGCTTCGGCCGTGGAGCCTTCATTGTGTTTTCTTTCTTCTCTTCTCAGCATGGAATAAACCTGTTACTTGTTCCTTTGCAGAACAAAGATAGACAGTACTGTTGGAGTTACCATGACGACTGTGACCCAGTATTCGTATTGGAATGGTGTTAAGACTCCTGGCAGGCAATCAAAGTTGAAGTAGAAAAGTGGTGCCTTTTCTTACAAGGGTATGGGGAGAAGGGTTCAGTGATACTTTGCTCCCAAGACGAAGCAGAGAAATAATTCTCAAATAAGTACTAAATACTGAGGAATAATCCTCAGTTTCCGCAATATATCATATAGAAATATTACCTTTGTACAGTTCAGACAAACATAAACTAATACAGAGGTGTCTGTGATGTCTAATGGCAGATTAATAAGGTGTCATTCAACTATAAACAGCATATGATAAAGTACTAAAACTTTCACAATAGGTACAGCAGCTTTCATTCTGCAGTGGATGACATATCTTTGAAGGAGAATGGATTTATTCCAACTCTTAATTACACGCTTCAGCAGTATGTTGTACATTGGTGGAGGAGGTGAAAAATATAGTTTACTTCAAGGCACAACCCTGTATCTCATTTTCTTAGCATTCAGGCCATTCCCAGCCTTTATTCCCAATTTCCATACATTTCAATGTTATTTGCATAGTTAAGCAATGATGCAGCGCTGAAAGTTAGCAGTACTCCTGACGCGCAGAATTTTTAACAGTTCCTGATGTCCATGCTTCTGCTGTTTTAGCAAGAAAAGTAGGTCAGGATTCTGGTAGTGGCATACTGCCTTGTGTCCGTTGCTTGCCAGGATGGACTTGGGCTCCCCTGTGACTCTGAATTGCATGTAGTGGTTCGAAAATGAATGGAAAGATGGAAATGAATAATTGTTCCACCTTGATTGTCTTGAATAACAAGCAATCAATCAATTACAAACAGTGAACAGTTTTCTCTCCACTTCTTGGGACTGATAAATAAAAGAGGAAGATGTTGAGATAAAAATGTTGTTGTTTTTTTTCTCTGATTAAAAAGGTGAGATTTGCAAAACATTCCATTCAGCCAAAAACACCATGGCTTATTCCATCAGACATGGAATACTTACATTTGCCTTCTCATTTAATATGTTTGACCTTTTTGAAAGTGCTGTTAAACGCATTTAGAAGAAATCAGTAAGATGATGTCAATATAGGCCGATTTTCTCAGACCGTGTTCTCATCAGAACACTGAAGTTCACAAGCTCCTTCTGGAGATTTTCCATCTCTGTGGTCCGCAATTGATCCACAAGTCTGTTTGTCATTTTCACATGCACTGAGAACCTCACTAATCATAGAGTTACACACCATAGTTGATGTACAGTAGTAGGAATGTCTACAGCGGTTCATCTTGCTCTTTTGGG